ATTTAAAAAATTTCTAATGTTCCATGTCCACAATGTTTTATGGTGTTAATGATGCTTTCTGTGCAAAATGAATCATTTGGTCCATATAGTTAGTACATCCAATACTCTGATTTTATAGATCAGGAAACTAGGGGTCAAAGCTTCCTTCACCTCAGCGTCTCCCCTCTGTCCTTCCATCCATCCCTGCTGTCGTCCTATTTCTCTTCTGCTCCCTTTGTAGGTAGACCCCACCCTAAAAGGCTGTCACCACATCCAGTGGCCTCGTCTCAGACCTCCTTACCCATGACCTCTCTGCAGCCTTTGACACCCACCCATCTAACTGATCATTCTCATGTCTGCTTTGCTGGATCTTCCCTCAGGCTTCTGACCTGCTCTCTTCTCTTCCCCCTTGTAGTATTTCCCTTGGGGATCTCATCAGCTTCACAGATTTAGTTAACATCTCTATGCCGATGATTCTCAATCTGTATGCTGTCCCAATCTGTATGCTGACCAGCAATCTTGTATCTCCTACTGCTTTTCAGATGTCTCGAACTGGATATCTAGTAGATGTCTTAAACTCAGTATGTCCAAAATAGAGCTCATAATCTTTCCCCCTAAACATTTCCCCACTCTGACCTTCCCTATTACTGTAGAGGGTGACACCATCCTCTTGGTCCCTTACACTCACAAGCTAAGTCCTCCTGGACACTTCACTCTCTCTCACCCTCCATATCCAATCTGTTGTCACGGCTGGTTTCATTGATTTCACCTTTGCAGCATATTCTGGATACGCCTCGTTCTCTGACATTGCCGCCACTCTGGTGCAAACCCACATCACCCAATGCCTGTTCTGTTGCAATAGCTGCTTGTGGGTCTCAGGTCTCTCTACTCTCCAATCCATTCTCCATTCAGCTACTAAAGTGATTTTCCTAAAGCACAGGTTCCTACTCAATAAACTCCAGTGGCTCCCTGTTGCCTCCAGGAACAAATAGAATTCAAAGTCCCTTTGATATGTTTGTAATGTCTTTGTTTTTTTTTTTTTGTTTTTTTTTGGTGAGGCAATTGGGGTTAAGTGACTTGCCCACGGTCACACAGTTAGTAAGCGTCAAGTGTCGAAATGTCTTTATGAGACATTTAATAAGACAGTTTGGGTCGGCTCTGTCAAGGTCACAGATCAGCCAGGTCATTAGAAAATAGCACTTAGTGCTGCACTTTAAGGTTTGCAGACAGGCATCTAAAGCCCTCTTTCTTACCATCTTCTTACACCTTCCTCCCCAATCACAGTGGCCTCTCGGCTGCCCCGTGAACAAAGCCCTCCATCAGCTTTGAGTATTCTTTCTGACGGTCCCCCATGCCTCGCTGCTGATCTCCCTGGCTTCCTTTAAGCTCCGACTAAACTCTTGTCTTTCACAGGAAACCTTTCCCAATGCCTCTTAGTTGCAGTGTCTTCCCTCTACATCTTGTATTTTGTTTGCAAGCTGTCTCCCCATTAGATTGTAAGCTTCTTGAAAGTAGGGACTTTCTTTTTCCCCTTTTTTGTATTGCCAGTGCTTAGCACATAGTAGGTGCTTAATGTTGATTGACTGATACTGATATTACATACCATCTACATTTATAGATTGTTTTCTTTTTCTTAACTACAATTATATGCCAAAATACTTGACAAAATCACAATTTCAGAAGTGGGTGGCACCACATATGTTGCAGTCCAACCTCTTATTTTTATTTACAAACATTTATAAAGCTCCTACTACTCTGGAAGCCTGTGCTGTGTTGGGGAAGCTGCCAAGCTTTGTTATCACCTCTGCCTTCAGGTTGCTTTTGGTCTAGGAGACGAGAAAGCAGGAGGGGGAGGGGAAAGGGTCCAGACCCAGTGAAGGCCTTGCGTTGGCCACTGAGGGAGTGGAGTATACTTCTACTTCACCACCTGTTGTGCTTATGGTAAAAGTGTTTGTTTCAGGACCGAACCAGAGTTGAAACATCTACAAGTAAAATATGAGGAACTTAAAGAAAGAAAATCTTCTCTCACAGAAGCAGCATGGTTTTTATCTAATTTGAAACAGCTTCATCATGATTATGCAGCTCTTAAAAGGAAAACCCCAACAGAGAGAGAAAAAGTGAGTGTCACTTGAGTTCATTTTGGTTTCTTCATTATACGTCAGGAGAAATAGTCCCTTTATGTTTGTGACATGTTCTTAATGTCTTTGTAAGACAGTTTGGGTCAGCTCCATCAAGGTCACAGCCCAGCCAGGCCACTAGAATAGCTAGCACGTAGTACTGCATTTAAAGTTTGCGTTTAAAGATCCTCACAGTAATCCTATGAAGTTGGTGCTATTATCTCCATTTTACAGATGAGGAAACTGAGGCAGAGGTTAAGTGACTTGCCCACTGCTATTAAGTGCCTGAGGCTGAATCTGAACTCAGATCTTCCTAACTCCAGACCTGGCCCTCTATCCATAATGTGTATGTAGGCATCACCTACCTGCAAACATCACTGGAGGCAATATAAATTCATAACACTCCTAAGTGATTTTAAGTATTTAGCTACTTTACTCGAAAGGAATAGAGAAAATTTAAAGTCATGCTTTATTTGAAGCTAATGGTCTTTGCCTACCGAAAATTTGAGGTAAGGCTTATCATATAACTTTTATACAAATTTCAAGGGTAATTTTTTTTGTTCAAATTACTAAGGATAATTATTGTGTTGTTTTTTTTTAATCCAAGGAAATCAGTTAACTCCACTTGTTGCCACTTTTCACTAGAATCAGTCAGCAAGCATTTATTAAGTTTAGCTAGAGTACTAGGGCTGGAGTCAGGAAAACCTGAGTTCAAATTAGGCCTCAGACACTGTGGCCCTTGGCAAGTCACTTAACCTGTTTGTCTCAGTTTCCTAATCTGTAAAATGGGGCACTTTTATGGGAATGGTGATAACATTCTGAAAGCTGGAAGAAGTTATTTTACCATATTTATATTTTAGGAAATTTTCCAGAAGCTAAAGAATCAATGATTTTTTTTAAATGAATTTCATTTTCAGTCTACTTTGAGATACAGATATGATATATATATCTCATCAATCTACTTTGTAATAAAACAAGTTAACTTTGTCACAGTGTGACTCTAGGAGGAAAAGAGCAAACTAGTAACTGGCCTGATAAACTCAATTTGCCACTGGAAGCATGGCAGGAAATCCTGCTGCAATAATTATCTCAGTGTTCTGTGTGGTCTTAAAGAAGTACACACAGCAATATCTGCAGTCCCCCCCCCTTCTCTTTCTTTTAATTGTATATTTTCTTCTGCCTTTATTTTACTTTATGAAGGCACAGATTACATGAGAGGAGGCTCCAAAGACTCTTTCTTAAAACATAGCTGTAACATGGCCTAAAATAAATCTGCCAGATACCACATGGGTGGCAGGGCTAGTCTGAACCGGGCCCTGGCATGCCCTGGTCATTATGAATCATCTTTAAACTCCATAGATCACTGGCCCTGTGCTTCTGGTGCTCACAGGGGTCAAGAATGTCTATGCCTGAGAGCTTATCTCTCATCCAGCAAAGCCCTTTTAGGACATGTAACTTGTCCAAAGTTGCACATTTTGTGATGATTCAAGACCAGGGCTTCGCATCCAAAGCCCAGTGTTCCTTCCCTGCACCAGAGCACAAGGCAACTCACTGTTAACGGTAACGCTGAACTGTAAGATATAGCTAGATATAGCTAGTAGGAGGTGAGTGCCTTGACTCATTTGTCTTGATCATTCTCACTCCATAGTTATTTCAGTTACTCTTCCTTCAACAGTATGACCTGTCCAGCTTGCCAGCTCTGCTGTTTGAAGCGAGAGGCATTTCAAGAGCGGCACAACACCTGAAAAAGATCAACTGTCACCTTCAACAGCTCGTTGACCACAAATGAGAGGGAACCTGCCTGATGTATACCTTGGAATAAACTTTTTTAAATTTATATATTTAACTTGGTATAATTTCTTAAACTGTACTTGATTAAATATAAAAGCCATAATTAAAAAAATACTTTAGAGTAATTCCTGTGTAGTAAAGGTCTGTAGGTTTTGTAAATAACCTAAAAAAAGATGTTAGTAAAAAAACAAATTAACTTTCAGATTTAAAGAGATTTACTTAGTTGTATATACTAGCTATTAAAGTATTCTTTGATAATATGTGTGTGTATACACACAATATGTATGTATTTCATATATGTGTATATATATATATATATATATATATGTTTAAAACACTGACCAAAATAGTTCAGGATGGACTAACACATGTGTTACTATTTTCTCCATTGAATTTCATTTCTGAATGACAGAATGAGAGTATTAATTTTGCAATACTAAAAATCTGCAAAATTAGATTATATACTGTACCAAATAGAACAATTGTCATTTCTAATTATTTTGCCTGGGTAGTTCAACTAATAGCCTTTGTAATTTGTAGCCTTCCTTGGTCCATTAAAGCATTTAAAAACAGACTTAAAACTCTGAGTGAATGAATAGCTACTTGTTGAAAAAAACACTTTTCTGAACCACATAGTATTTTTTCTTCAAGTTTAGTTAAAAGCTGTAGAAGAATGGAAGGGGACATGGCACACATGTAACATTCTGTATTCTGCTCATATATTTCACCATCCCCCTGACCCCCTTTTTTTTTTTAACCATAAAGGAAATTTTTAAAAATTTTTGCTACTTTTTGTTTTTGCATCATATGTTGACTCTCAGATTGCATCACAATTGACTCCCTTCTCCCAACCCAGCAAGACTTCCATTTTATTAAAAACAAAACAAAATCCAAAAGCAGTTCTGTAAAACTAACACCTAGACTTTTCTTTGTGGTTTTTTAATTCTTTTGGTGCCAAGTCTGGTTATTAAAATTACAGTTGGGTTTAGTTTTGGTTCTTGCTGTTGTCCCAGTTTAACCTATTTCCCTGTTATCATTTCATATATATCCTGTTTTAAGAATCCTTCATATTTGTTGTTTACAAAATAACATCCCATTACATTTATGTACCACAATTTCTTCAGTTTTTTTCCCCACAATAAACAGGCACATTATTTGTTTCCAGCTTTTTACTGTAACAGTGCAGCCATGAATGTTGGGGGATGTAATGGAGCCTTTCTGTCAGTGAACTCCTTGGAGTTTATAAACCTAGTCATGGGGCCTGATCAGTTTAGTGGCCTTTTTTTGGGGGGGGGGGGGGCAATAATTTGACATTATTTTCCAGAGAGTATTTGGACCATTTCATAGCTTTCACACATGCTTGTCTTCCCACAGCCCCTGTAATTTCATCTTCAGCAGTTTAATGTATAAGGTGACATTTCAGTGTGATTTCAATGTGCATTTCTATCATTAGTGATACAGGGCATTTTTTTCTTTCTTTTTTTTTAAGGTAATTGGGGGTCACACAGCTAGTAAGTGTCAAGTGTTTGGTCTGAGGCCGGATTTGAACTCAGGTCCTACTGACTTCAGGGCTGGTGCTTTATCCACTGCGCCACCTAGTTGCCCCAGGGCATTTTTTTCAAATAGCTGTCGGTAATATTTATCTATTTTGACCATTTCATTTATCCAGTCGAGAGTGACTCAAAATGAAGTTGTTCAATTGCCCACAGGTTTTGGATGTCTGAATTTGTTTTATTCTAAGTCTATAGTTCTTTTAATGGAAAAGGAGATTTGTTCAAGCTCTCTTGCTCATTTTCCATATTATTTAAGCAGTGGAAGCCAGGGTTAGGCCTGAGATGAAAGACAGACCCACAGACAAAGCTTGTGTATCCCAGTGAGGCCTTTCAAGTCAGCAGATGCCTGGGGGGCTTAAGGGGTGACATTTTGGGTCTCCATTGTGGATGTATCCCAAGGGTCTGCTGTGAGCCCCATTCTCTCTTCCCTCTATGCTAACTCAGTAATACAATGGTTCTTATCTCTATGCAAGTGATTCCCAGATCCATATATTTGAGCCTAACTTCTCTCCTGAGCTCTAGTAATTACATCACTAAATATCTCTTAGACATCCTGAACAGGATGACTCAACATCTGAAACTCAGCACATCCAAACCAATTCATTTTCTTTCCCCCCAAAACTCTGGGGCAGCTAGGTGATGCAGTGGATAGAGCATCAGGCTGGCCTCAGACACTAGCTGTGTGACCCTGAGCAAGTCACTTAACCCCGTTTGCTTCAGTTCCTCATCTGTAAAATGAGCTGAAGGTGAAACCACTTTGCCAAGAAAATTTCAAATGAGGTCATTTAGAGTTGAACACAACTGAACCAACCAAACTGAACAAAACTCTGCCCTTCTAATCACCCAGCCTTGCCTCGCACTCACACTTAACCCACCTGTCTTTCCAACATCTCTTGTGTATATCCCCTTCTCTGTTCCCCGAGCTGTCACCCTTCTGGCTGGGCTCCCTGCCTCCAGACCACCTGCCACTCAGCTGCCATAGTGATTTTCCTAAAGCACGGCTCTGACCACTCATCTTTCTCTACTCATCTACCCCCTTGTTTTCCTTTTACCTCCAGGAACAAAAAGAAAATCCTCTCTTTGGCTTGTAAAGCCCTTCACAGCCTGGATCCCTCCTTCCTTCTTGCTCTGTAAGCCAGTAATGCTGGCCTTTGTCCCGTGCCTCCTCACCCTCCACTGCTGAAATGCTCTCCCTCTTAGATACCCCAGCTCCACCTTCTGCAGGAGGCCTTTCCTGACTCTTTTCCCCTTCTATTTCCAGTCTATATACAAGTTCCTCAAAGGCAGAGACCACGTTTTTGCTTTTCTTTCTATGTACAATGTTGAATAAATGCTTAGTGACTGACACCAGCTATTTAAGAAGCCAGCTTAGTTTCAACTGCAGTCTCAGATCTACTTAGCTAGCTCCGAAACTTTTCTGTTTTATATGGGAGAAGTCTAATTTCTGAAATTGCAGTGATATTTGACTAGTGTTCTTGCTTCTCAGGGGTGCTGGGGAGGAAAGTAATTATTATTTGTTACCTTTGCTTCCAGAGCTATGCTTCAGATCCCTGAGCGCTGTGATTGGCTGAGGAGGTGGTGTCTGGCTTTGTAAGCTTCATGGGCCTAGGGCTCAGGCAACTTTAAGGTTAGCCTGAGATTAAGGTTAGTTCGTGGCCTGGATTCTTGACTGACAGACTCTACTGTACCCCTATTGTTGACATGCTTTATGCAGGTTAATATCAACCTGGGGCTTTTAGTTCAACTAATACTTCATATACTGGGGACCTTGTGTCTGTGACGTGGAATGACATCCAAGTACAGGGGTCTAGAACAGTGTCAGACCTGTATTAGTAATCATAGGTTATGATATACAATAGGACCATTAAAATATCAGCATTTAATAGAATTTCTAGTAATAATCAAGAAAATGTTCAAAAAGTAAGAAAAAAATTCAATAATAGGTACCATAATGATCAATTTATAAAGCTCTGAACTAGACCTGTGATTTCAAGAGGCCAGATAATTCTCAGATGAGGTCAGCATCTCCTCTGCAACTGCTGGCCCTAGAAAGTTGCCTGTTCTAGTACCAAGGAGCTTCTGGGGGTTGCCCAGGGTCAGTCACACAGCCCGTATGGCATACAGATGTTGGGACTTGAGCCCCAGTCTACCTGATTCTCCTCCAGTGAATTCCCAAGTTTTACCTTTAGCCGCTCTTTGAAGTCACGTTATACTCCTAGTCGTTTCCTGTTCTTGTAGCACTTCCAAGAGAAGTGCATCAGGAATCTCATCCTCATTGGGGCCATCACTGGCCAGACTCTTCTCTGCAGCTTCCGCAGCTTCCAAAAAACAGGCGTCGTCAATCCCATTGTCCCAGTCTGCGTCTGCAGGCACCTCTCTCGTCAATATACCAGAAGAGAATTCTTGTGAATTTGAGGACTTTGGGTTAGTTCCAATGTTCCTAGTTTCGGTTCCATTCAAAATGGGGTCTTCATCATCCTGAAAAAATATGCAAACACCATCACAGACCAGAGACTTGAGGCAGGCAGCCCAGCTCCCACAGTTCCTAAAAATCATACTAGACCAAATAAATGACCAAGAAATCCAATGAGAACAATCTACGATGAACTGCACAAAAAGTCAGCCAGGAGCCCACAGGCATAGAAAGGCAGGTTGCCAACAAAGGCAGATGAGACACGTAGCCCTCCCAGGGCCAGCAGGGATACATGGCATACAAACCTGTCTCTGGAGACAGCAGGAACAGAGGGTGGGCACTGAGAAAATCCAGCCAGATGAGCTGCAGTATGAACCCTGGAAGTGACCAGGAGTGGTAGTAAACATTTCGGATGAGGAAGTGCTCAGCCTGAGATGCCACGGAAGGCCCCAAAGATGCAGCACTCTGAACCTGAAAGCCTCGAAAGAGGCCTAAGCCTCGGAGGTGGAGGTCAGCACAAAAAGCCAAGAGGAGTCCCGTCAGGTTTGCCCACCTCATCCAAAAGTGCATTAGAGGCCAGAGCCTAACCCATGACAAAGCCGCAGTTCAGGGACTAAAGCTTGATAAATGAGTAAACCTAAGACAATAACCACCATAAAGAATTACTGCAGATCCAGAGATGGAGGGAAAAAAGAAAAGGAGAAGAAATTTAACAATTGTTGAACTCTCTGTAAACTATTAAAAAAAACAACAACAACAAACTTGGACGCTTTCAGGAAATGAAAAGTTGCCCAAATCTATTAGAACCAGAAAGCAAAGTGAAAATATTAGGAATCCAATTCCCTCCTGGAAAAAAAAGCCCTAAAATGTTCTATTAATGTCATAGTCAAAATCCAGAGCTTTCAAGTCAAAGAAAAAATACTGCAAACATCCAAAAAGAAAAGTACCAAGAAGCCACAGTCAGAATCACACAAGCCCTGGAAGCTTCTAATATAAACATAAGGAGATATTGGAATTCAACATTCCTTACAACCAGGAATAACTTACCCTGCAAAGCTGGGTATAATCCTACAGGGAAAATTAAAAGCACCTGTAATGGAATAGAAGACTTTCAAGCCATTTCTGATGAAAATACAAGAGGTGAGTAGGAATTTTGAAATATAAACACAAGAGTCAGGAGAAGCCCTGCTTGAGCAATTGAAAGAGGCTCTATGATGCTGCAGAGCTAACATTCTAATAGGAGGAAAAAAACAAGTGTCCCTCTAGAACTTTAATGTCTTCAAAAGGGCATTGAGGGAGTTAAATAAGAGAAACAGGCTGTAGGTGCCTGATCCTGTTTTGGGAGTTTGAAGAGGGGGAAAAAAAAAGGAGGGTAAAAGGAGGAATACATTAGTGGAGAAAGGCAGAATAAGAATGTGGAACATGTTTTTTTTCCTCATAATTGGGGTGCATGAGAAAACAGTATACAGACATGCAGAAAGGGCAAGCAGGCATCAGTGGAACCTCACTTACCTGAAAAAGAGGGTTGAACAAGCAGTTTGGTACAGAAATACATCAAACTCAAGAGAAGGTTAAGAGGAAGGGTGATGCTGGAGAGGCAATACTCAGACAAAACAAATTTCTTGGATCTTGAAAGAGAGGGGAGATTAAGATAAAGACAAAAACTGGAAACTGGGGACAACATGCCCATCGATTGGGGAATAGCTAAATTATGCTGTGTTAATGTAATAGAGCATTATAGTGTCCTTGAGAATGACAAAAGGCATTTTCAGAGAATCCTGAAAACATACGAATGAAATTATAAAGCATGAAGTGAGCAGAACCTGTAGAAAATGTATTTCAAGGACACTGTGTAAAGAAAAACAAATTGTAAAGATGGAAGAACACTTATCAAAGCAATGACCAACTACATCTCCAGAGAACCTGCGATTAAGCAATGTCACCTTCTGACAGAGGCAATGGGCTCAAGGGGCAAAAAAAGACATACCCTTTTGGGCATGGTGGCCACTGTGTGGATTTGTTTTGCTCGATTACGTTTATTTGTTAAAAGGATCTTCTCCTCCATTTTAAATTGAGGGTAGGGGTAGATATGAAAAATAAGAGGGCCACCGAGTGTTTTTACTGTATATAGGTTTATCTTTTCTATGTATTTAGCTCTATTTTGGGGATTTCTGTTCTGCAGCAATGGTCTATTTGGCCCACTACAAGACAGTTTTAACAAGAACTGTTTTAGAACGTTTTAAAATCTGGACGGGCAAGTTTACTTTGTCCTCTCTTCCCACGCCGATCCCCATGCTGGTCGGCAAAACAACAAAATCAACCTTTGAGATTCTTGATTGTTTTTATATACATTTCATAACGATCTGACCCAGTCTTCTAATGAAATCCATTGGGATTTTTGCTATTTCATTAAATCTTTTTACCATTTTTACTGCATTGCTTCAACTCATACAATAATGAATTTCATTAGTTATTGAGATCTAATTTTTGTTAATTTTATAGATTATTTTTACATGGATAATTCCTGAACATTAATTTTTTTGTCATAAATGGGACTTTTTTTGGGTAACTAATGGCTTCTTGGTCATTGGTGGTATATAAGAATGTAAATGATTTTGTGGATTTACCTTTCATCCTGCAATCTTGATGAATTAATTTTTCTCTAATTTTTGTTGCAACTGATAAGTTTTCTAAGTAAACAAATTATCTGCAATAAATGATCTTTTCCTGATCTTTTGATTTCCTGTTAAACCTTCAAAATTTACTTTTCCCTTCTCACAATTACTAAAATTTCTAATACCATTTTCTCTTTGATAGAGATTCTCTTTGATATGTTTACATCTATATTCATTAGTGAACGGTCTATAATTTCTTTTTAGTGTTTGTTTTTAAGCTTTAGGATACCATATATGCCTCATAAAAAGAAATGGGTAACACTTCATCTTTCACTACATTTAGAAAGTCAATATGTGAATTATTTATTCTTTGAAGCTTTGGAAAAAATTCACCAATAAATCCATCTGAGTGAAGTGTTTTATGGGTTAATTCATTGATTGCTTCTCTTATTTCTTCCAATGAAATTGTTATTTATTTCTAATTTTGTTAATTTATAGTTTTGCAAATAGTCATCTATCCCTTTTGCTTAAGTTTTCAGTATATCAGCATGTAGCTGTGTACATTTACTGGTGAAATTATTCTGAATTTGTAATGGTCCCTCCTGCCTTTCTAATTCTGAGGAGTTGTCTTTCTTATTTGTGATTTGTAATTTACTTGCTAGCAAATAATTTGTCAACTTTATTGATCATTCTAAAGAGTCTCCTCTTAGTTTTGTTAATTCAGTTGTCTTTCATTTTCTATTTTAAATAATATCTATTTTTTTCCTTTGGACTATTACTTGTTTTCTAACATCTTTTTTAAGTACAAACTTGTTTTATTCAGTAAGTACATTACATTTACAAAAGGAATAACTCCATACAAAAAGTATTTCCTTTGGTCCCTTTCTCCAAAAGACACCCCTTTCTTTTGCCCTGATAATTACCCTTCAACCTTCCTTATCCATTCTACACAGCAGATAATTTCTACATATCCCAATTATATGTATACACACACACACCAAAAGCTTACTGAATTAGTTATGATAGGAATGTAAGGAACCAGCTGTTCAAATCATTGCACTGAGCTCTGCATTTGTCTGCACTAATGGTTTAATATTTCTGAGAAGGGTTGGCCAGAGTATGAATGAAATTCCAAAAATGAACATACAAGAGAACAATAATAGCAGCCATCCTTATCCTTTATGTCAGGCTAATCGTACATATTTGGGGGAGAGGAGAATGGGATGGGAAGTTATTTTCTTAAGTTTCAGAATGACTTGGATTTAATATTCATAAACATGCATACCTTTAATTCGAAGACAAGTTAGCTAATATAAAATAACAAAAAAATAGCACATACCTCTTTGAACAGATATAAGAGGCACACTTCAGTTGGTAATGGGAAACCTAAACCAGAGAGAAATTTTTATTTATTGCTTAAAATAAACATAGTTTTTTAATTGCTGGAAAAACTGCCTTAAAAAATCAATAACTCACAATCTGATTTGAAGTTTTCTGCTCTGCAGACAGGGTCATGACATTTTTGATACCAGACCTCATTTTTCAGATCCACCAGAATCCTTCAAATATAAATATAAATATTAAGTTTCCTAATCCTTTTGCACATTACTTTTTTAAAACTTTATTGTCATTTTTATTTTTAAAATCACCTTCATTTCTATCTTTTCCCTTCCCCTATCCAGCGAACCATCCTTTGTAACAACAAAAAAGTCAATTCAACAAGATCAAGGAGCAGTCATCTGAATCTGACAGTATATGCAATGTTCTACACGCATATTTCCCTACCTCTACAAAGAAAGGGAGGGAGGGAGGTGCATTTCCTCAGCTCTTCTCCAGGGCCAAGGTTATTCATAGTTTTAAGGAATAAAGGTCTTAGCATATATCTTTTTCATTCTTTCCATTTACATTATGAATTGCTTTCCTCATTCTGCTTAGTTCATTCTGAATCAGTCAATTCCTATAATCTTCTGTGGTTCAATGGGAAGAGCACTGGCTCAGATGTTCACTTCACTTATGACACTACCTCGGGCTAGTCACCTGACCTTCAGTTTATTCATCTATAAAGTATGAGCTCTGTGATCCCATTTGTTTGTCCGTTACCAACTGATGGGTCTCTACTTTATTTCCAGTTCTTTGCTACTCCAAAAATTTCACTGAGTATTTTGGGGTCCATTGTAGAACCTTTTGTTTTTTTACTTCCTTGGAGCAGATACCCAGCTGTGGGCTCTTTGGGTCAAAGGGTATAGATGTTTTCATAACTTTTTTTTTTTTAGCATAATTCCAGATTGCTTTCCAGCATTAGTGGATCAATTAATAGATTCTTATTTTTATTGATTTGTTTATTTTTAAGATTATCTTCATTTTTCAACACCTCTCTTTCCCCTCTTCAGCAAGTCTGTTGTAATGGAGAATTTTAAAAAGGGGATAAAAAAGTTCTGCAAACCAAGCTGTATTAGCTTTGTCTGATAGTTTATGCAATGTTTCCCCCACCCACGGTTCCCTCACCTCTCTGTAAACAGGGAAGGAAGGCACACTTTTTCAACTCTTTGAGACCAGGCTGAGCCATTTATAATTGCATAGTGCAGAACATTAAAATAATAAATAATAAGCATTATTACTAAAAAAATTTGCTGTCTACTGTCTGCCATCAATCAAGTATCTACTAACCACTTATTATATGTCCCTATGCAAGGCACCATGCCATGATATGCAGGATACAAAGGAGTATGAAAAAAGGCCCCTGCCTTCGAGGTACTAACAGTCAACTTTAGGAAACAAAAGATAGGTGAAAAGCTAACAATTATTCCCCACAGGATGGAAATACTGAACCAGTAAAAATGAAGAGTGACATGCAATGATGCAGGAAAGCTTCTTGGAGGAGCTGATCTTGAAAATGGATAGTAGGATTTCAATTGAAAACGCCCCATTGAGTGGGATGACAAAAGGCAGAAAATCACAAGCAGTATTTTGGGCATAGTGAGAAGGGCCTGTGCTGGGGAGACAGGGGTACAGTGGAGAGAACAGTGTTCTACAAGTCATGTTGGGACTCCAGGCGAGGCATTTGTCCTCACTGTGTCTCAGTTTCCTCAATGAGAAAACAAGAGGCTTGGATTAGATGATCTCTAAGGTCTCTTTTAATGCCAAGAATTTCTTGGAGGGTGATGCTGATGTTTCAAGCCTTAGAGTGTCTGTGACAATGATAGAAAGGAAGTCATGAGATGGAGTGCTGTGTTGAGAGGGATCATAAGAAAATAGATTTAGAGTTGGAATGGTTCTTAAAGGTCATCTTTTCAACCCCTTTATTTTACAGATGAGGAAACTGAGGCCCAAAGAGTCAAAATGACTTGCCCCACATTGCAGACAGGGGCAGAGCCAGGATTCAAATCTAGGCACCCTTAACCCTTTTCACTGGACCACACTGCCTTGCAATGATGAGTCTGGTTTTAGACACAGAACACGGGAATCGGAGCCAGGAGAGCCCTTTTGAGACCATCAAGTCTAGACTCTTCATTTTACATATAAGAACCTGTGGCCCAGAGATATTAAGTGCTGCACCCAATGTCCCAGAGCTAGTAAGGCATGTGTTTAACTTAAAACAACTGCAAATATTCACTAAACACACACACTCAAGACTTGGAAGACACTCCTATGATGAAACTATAGACTTGGGAGTCATCCACACAGAAGGGATAGTTGAAGCTACAGATTACAGAAAGAGCAGAGCAAAGGTCCAAGAACTTGTGACGTTTAGGAGGCAGAAGGAAGAAGAGTTAGACGGCAAAGGAGATACTAAAGGGGAGACTGCGTCTGTGCCTTTATATCTCACAGTGCTGTTATGTCTGAAACTTAGAGTAGACTGAGAGATAATGGTCCAAGCATGATCAACTTATTAGGCTAGCATTAACCAATAAATTGGGTTAATGGCCTCTCTCAATGACCAAAAGACCTCACTGAGGGCTGACTTAGATGTGTTCCTTCTGATCAGCCTGACAGTACATTATTTGGACCTCCCCTGGCAAAGTAAGACAATCCCATTGGTAAGATATTATAATGAGGAGGTGAGATGAGAGCTCTTCCTCATTTAGAAAATGGGAACTGTTGTTCAGCTGTATCTGACTCTGCATTAGTATCTTGGCAAACATATATCAGAATGATTTGCCATTTCCTTCTCCAGTGTGTCCCCATTTTACAGATGAGGAACTGAGCCAAACAGGGGTTGAGTGACTTGCCCAGGATCACATAGCTAGCAAGTGTCTCAGGCTGATTTGAACTCAGATCTTAGCACTCTATCCACTGCCCCTCAGATAATAGGATTAGGCTGCAGACAATGCTAAGTAGTTTGCAGTAGCTTTGATTGATTCAACTTGAATTTGAGTTAAATGGGTAATGGGCTAACAGTGCAAAGGTAGATAACACAAGGGTGATTCTGCTCTCTCTTTTCCGGGTTCCCCACATACTAACGTCTTGCTAATCCCATTTCTGTTCCTGACTCTAGGGGATTACATTCCCATTCCTAGCTCAAATAGCTCTCCTTAACTTGAGACTTCAGACTAAGCCAAGTAAATGCTTATCAAGTAGGGCAAAAATAAAAATCAAATGTAGTAGATACAGATTACTAGAAATAAACTATAACTATAAATTTAATAAAATTCTGTGCAAAAACCCAATCTAAAATGGCAATAAATTTACAAAAATATGTATAACTCTTTCTTTAAAACACTAAGCATTTACTTACATTATATTATTACTCTTGTGGGCTCTTTTAATATTTCCACACCAGCGATACTTAGAAATATCATAAACAAGTAATTCTTCTGGGAAAAAGTAGTTCCAACACCGAATTCCTGAAACATCAACAATATTTATAAGTTCAATAGAACCACATCTAAGCAATACTTAATAAACAACAAAGATATTTACCTCCCTTAATGCCATTCTTATTCACCAAAGAAAGAACAAAGTTATCAATTTCAGGATATGGTGAGCACTGGAAGCCTTCAATGACACCCACTGCAACAAAAGAAAGGGAAGGTGTAAACTACTCAAAAGAGCTAAACGATATGCAGCTAGATTCTAGATTGTACTTATTCAGGGGCTGTAGATTTTTTCAGCCCAGGTGCCCACATTTTCCTGTTTTTGTTTTGTTTTCCCTCCTCTCCTGTTTGCTTTTTGGCAATGAGAGAGCAGCTCAGGAAAGAATGAGGGAGTGAAACTGAAAATCAGGCCAATTTTGCTACTCCTTAGCAGTTAGGGTAAACCCTAATTTTTAATTAAGTGCATGATTTTACAGTTTTTAAAGTGAGAAATCTGTAACAAGAACACTGTGCATATAAAAGGTCTCATTTAATTTTAAGACTTAATAAACTTTAAAGAAATAGTAAATATATAAAATATTTTAAATAGCATACCTGTAGTATTGGCACTGTTAAAATATTTGGTCCTTTTTTGTTTACTTAGAGGTACATCACAGGTAAGGATTCGTAAAGTGTCTGAAAATCTGAAAATACAGAGAAAATTAAAATGTCATTACTTAGTATTAAAGAACAAAATGCCAGGGAAAACAATTAAGTTCTAAATATTAAAACATTTAAATACTATTTGTTCAACATCTGTTGCACCACATTTATCCATATAATCCCCCTTTCTCCCTCAAAAGGAAGGTGATAGCTACTGGATAAATTAATCCCTCTGATGAGAAGGTGAATAAGGATTGCCACAGTTATAACCTGAAGCACAATTAGTACAGTGTTTGGCACATAGTAGGGACTTAAATGTTTTTTTTTTGCCTGAAAATCAGAAGAGTTATGTGTTGTACTAGACAAATCTCTGAATAGGTAGTCAGGAAGCCCAGGTTCTAATATCTTCACCACATTCACAGAGACAATACTAGAAGGTTTACAAAGCACTTTCTATAAAACCACTCCAGGAAACAGGTAGCCCCAATGTTATTATTATTATCCCCATTTTAAAGATGGCTCAGTGATTTACATATAGCCACATAACTAGGGAGTATCAAGTCATGGCTGAAACTCTGATCTTCTGATTCAGAGGCCAGTGGGAAGGCAGGAACTAAGCATATATATAGTGGCATATATATAGCCAGGCACTGTGCTTATAGTAATATCTCATTTGATCCTCACAACAACCCCCATGGGAGGTGCTATTATTATCCCCATTTTACAGATGAGGAAACAGAAAGACAGAGGTTAAGTGACTTGCCCAGGTTCACGCAGCTATTAAGCGTCTGAGGCTGCGTTTGAACTCAGGTCTTCCTGCCTCTAGGCTCAGTGCTCTGTGCAATATATGAAGCTTCTAGTCTAGTCATTAATTTTATGATGAATGTTATCTTGCAGACAAGGAAGCTGGAGCAGATAACAGACAGAATGCTGGGTGATAACTCTGGGCCCTGCCCATCTTCCCGCCCCCCCCCAGGGCTTAAAAAAACAAGGTACAGGCCAGAGGAAAGTGGAAGGGAGGTGTGATCATGAGAAGAGGAAAGAGGAAAGAGTCCCTACTCTCCAGGATTCTTGCTCATTTCGAGGGAAAGGACTTGGACTGTATTTGAATGTATAGATCTCTAAATAACCCGGCTCTGGGATCCTAGTGTGGATGAGGGAGGGGCCGTGAAAAGGCTCCTGAGGCCCCTGACACCAGACTGATGCTCTTTCTACCCCAGATAAAGAACCTAAGAACCAGAAAGATGTGAGACAGCTCCTGAATCAAATGCAGGTCGATGATACAACCTCCCCTTTCTCTGCAGTTCTCTTTTGAGAGACTTTTCTCCTGACCCAGAGAGGCACTAATCTCCAATATCAGAGGTGATGACTCCAGGGAATGCAGAGGCCTCAGATCTGATACCATCAGATCTTCTTTGATAAATGTCACCACAATTATCACAAATAAATGAAAAGCCTAATTCTGGCACTGCATACCTGATGTTGGTAACCAAAGAAGAAAGGAAATACTGGTTTTCTTCAGAAATAGTCTTTGATTGTTTTGGAAAAAATTTGTTATCTTCAGCTACTTCCAAAGACACACATTTGCCCAGTTTTGATGATTTGTACAGCCGGAAGTTTCTATTTCTTGTATAAACTCCTATATAATATACACATGTAAAAAGCAAAGAAAAAAAATATTAATTTTGAGAAATCATTGTGACACAATGAAAAAAGTTCTGGTCAGAAGATCTGAATTTGGGTCTCTGCTCTGACTCTTATTAATTGCATGTCAGCGGACAATTCATTTAATTTAAGACTCAGTTTCCTCATCTGTGGAATGGGTTTTGTAATATTTACAGTCAATCTTAAAGCATTTTATGAACTTTAAAGTATTATTGCTATGTCATCTATTAAATAATCTTATTTTTATTTTTTATTTTATTTTAGGCAATTGGGGTTAAGTGACTGGCCCAGGGTCACACAGCTAGTAAGTGTCAAGTGTTTGGTCTGAGGCTGGATTTGAACTCAGGTCCTCCTGACTTCAGGCCGGTGCTCTATCCACTGTGCCACCAGCTGCCCCTTAAATAATCTTTAAATAATACTTTTCATAACCAGTAAATATTACTTTATTACTGTAGTCTACATTAGGCACATATGGGAAAAAATCAGCTTTTTATCCAAGGTTACAAAATAAAAGTTTTCTTTGAGAGGATATTCAAGTCTTCTCTGAAATTGTTAAGGAACATTTAAGAAAACAGTTCCCCATTATTACATAAATGGATGTAGGTATAAGGTTGGACTAATTCCCCCAAGCAAATCATTATTAAAATATTCCTATCAGGCCTGTAAGCTGATTCTTTGAGGCAGCTGATGCTCAGTGAATAGAGCAATGGGCCTGGAGTCAGGAAGACCAAAAGTTCAAATCTGGCCTCAGATATTTACTGGCTGTGTGACCCTGGGCAAGTCACTTACCCTGTTTACCTCAGTTTTCTTCATCTGTAATAGCACTTACCTGCAAGGTTGTTGTGAAGAACAAATGAAATAAGATTTGTAAAAAGTGCTCAGCACAGTACCTGGCTCAAAGTAGGTGCTATATCAATGCCTATTCCCTTACCTTCTCTTCCTTAGGGGTCAGGCCTTTCAGGAACTGGATATATGTCATATGAGACAGTTTTTTTTTTTTTAAGGCAATTAGGGTTAAGTGACTTGCCCAGGGTCACGCAGCTAGTAAGTGTCAAGTGTTTGGCCTGAGGCTGGATTTGAACTCAGGTTCTCCTGACTTAAGGGCCGGTGCTCTACCCACTGAGCCACCTAGCTGCCCCAATATGAGACACTGTTAAGGGGCAAGATAGGCACAATATTTGGCTACTGGTGACTAGCATGGCTGGCTGGATTTGTATATTATTGAAAGTTATGTTGACTCAGTTCTGAGCCTTGCTTCTCAATCAGGGCTGGGAGAGGCTCTGTTTGGGGAAGGCAACACAGTTTACAGCTTTTTATATTACATGCTCTTTGTCACATAACCCTACCTACAAATGGCCACACACTTGCTGTCTTTGGGAGGAACTGAAATGCTCAACCCCTTTTGCTGAGATGGACCTATCCAAATTGTCTTTAAAGTTACCAGTAAAGTCTGGCCCCACCTTAAAGCTATTGCTGATCTGCAGTGATTAGCCCATCAGTAGCTACCTGGACTTACTTAAAATAGACCCCTTTTAATTCTTTTTATCCTGAGTTTTGCCTCATTAGTCAAGGTGAAAACCCAAATGAAGAATTTTCCTTTCAACAGTCTATTCCTTGATCAGCCCTCCAAAATCCATTTCTCCCAATATCCTTTGAGGCTGGTCCAAAGCAACCTGGATAGAATAACAATTCCAACAGTTATGAATTTACATATGAATTCACAAAATTTTACATACCCACATCTACAAAAAGGTGATTATCTCCGCCTTTATTCTTCACAATTAAAAAGGAAAGATCTGGTGCATTCTGCTCTGATGTCCCCAAATCTTCTACCTTACATGAATTAAAAGGCTGGCTTTTCGCAGTATTTTTATCTTCAGATAAGTTTGTAAAAGAGGTTTCTGGTTTCACTATTGTTTTCGTAGACAAGGAAATTATGTGTCCTGGTACTTCTGGTATCTTGTTATTAATTTTACCATCCTCTAATGCAATCACAGGTTGCAAAATTTTTCTAACAAAATTACCTTAAAGAAAATAGATGCGATTAAGCAATTGTTTTATTCAATTTAAAACTTCTAGCGTTAACCATATCTACCTAAGGTCAAGTTTTCTACACCTTCAGAGTAAGTCAATATTTTCCCTTCTACTTTGGACCTATGTGCACAGTGCATAAGGAAAGGAAATAAGGAAAAGGACTAAGTGATCAAACAACCTAACAATGGGTTTGAACAATAACTCTGAATTTATGGCTGACGCCCAAGCACTTTGCTTCCACTCAGTGAAACGGTTCCATCAGTTGATCGCAAGGACTTGACCCATTCAATGCCCTTCCTCTACTCCCCTAGCCCCTTGTGCTGGCTTTAGCTATCCCAGCCCCGCCAGCCCTAGCATTTTTACTAATCCACATCTGGAATACGTTCTGCTATGGGCACCACATTTTAAGGACACTGAGTAGGACATGTCCAAAGGAAGGTGGGAGGGACAGTGAGATGACTGGAAACCATGCCACATGTGGGTCAACTGGACTAACCAGGAAAACTTAGACTGGAGAAGAACGTGTCAGTGTCTTGCAGCGTCTGAGGGGCTGGTATGAAGCAGAAGGGCTGGACTTGCATTTGGCTTCAGGGGACAGAACTAGGAGCAATGGGTAGAAGTTACAAAGAAGTGGACTTCAAGTTAATATCAGAACAAACTTCTTAAAGAGTTATCCCAAAATGCAGCAGGCTGTCTCAGGAGGCCATGGTTTCTCCATCACTGCCAGTCTTCAAGAAGACTGGATAAACACCTGAGGGCCCAATGGGGATTCCTGTACATCCTACTGCACTCAAAGAATGCACTACTCTGACTCAGCAGGGCTGCTCAGAGCTCCTCCATCTGGTTCCCCTGCTTCCCCTCAGATTCAGACTCTTCCAGTCCCAGGAAGAGATTCACACTTGACCTTAATAACGCCACTGAAAGTCAAATTAGAGGGATTACAGTCAGGGCAGGAAGACAAGCTGGAGTAGAAACTGTCAGGGCAAGGGCTGAAGGGTGAGCTAGTAATTGGGGACACATCTGATTTACCAAGGAATCAACCGACTCACTGACCGAGATGAACACAGACAAACCCTTCCAATTTCTTCAGAAAAATGCATTTATAATTATGCATAATAGAGTAATTAAATCTGCTTCTTTATGGAGTTTAAAGTTTGTTTTTTTTTAATGATTTTCAAAAGTAAATTATATTTCTTTGTTATACTTGGCATTTTGGTCAAGTCCCCCTAAACCAATGTTTATTTTGAGAAAACTGAGTATCAGAAGTATTTCCTGTACATTAGTCCATTAGCCTGCGAGCTCCTTAAGAGCAGAGACTGTTTTTGACTTCCTTTGTATCCTCAAGGCTTAGCAGGGAGTCTGACATGAAATGGGCACTTCATAAATACTAGTTGGCTTGACTACCCACATCGAAAAATAGGTCCATCAAGAGCTTCCTTAGATTTTTTAAGTTTGCATGTTAGATAGCTTTAATTCCTAAATACTGGCTAAATTAATAAAGCTAAGAGGACCTAAGAGGGATATCATGGAGTTGTGGGTAGAAAGCTGGCCTCAGCTCAGTCAGGAAGACCTGGGTTCAGGTTCTCCCTCTGACATTCACTGGCTGGATGACAATGGGCAAGTTCTTTAAACACTCAGCGCTTCGGGCAGTTCCCTCACATCATATACTGCTGGCAGAACAGGTCCTGGTTGGCAGGAGCAGAGGGAGTTCTCTCACCAGGAGTTTTCTTATACCAATGAAATCACAGGTCTGGACAAAATGAGGCTAAGTAAAAATGTGCACTACTCCAATTTAAAAAGTTACAATAAATGTATTTGTAAGAGACTTTAATCCCTAATTTGTAAGATTTATTTACATTATGAACACTTCTGGATGACATTACATAAAACTACTAAGCAAATCAACAACTACCACTATAAATTCATTATCTCTCTTATACTAAACTCTGACTCTAGCTAAAGAAGACTGCTTCCCCTCCTCAATCTTCATTTTCTACTGTTACACCATTCCTAAACAGGACCAAACCACTGTCAGCCTTAAACAGCATTTAGTCACTTTATTTTCCAGGCAGCATATTCAATTTCTTGTAAATTAGTAAGAAGACAAGAAGCAAAAGCAAAACCATTGACTCTCTGTGCAAATAACACACAACTGCCCCCAGGATATGGTGAATGATCAGCACCCACAGACCAAGACATAAAAGAGAGCAGAAGGTACTCCAAATAGAAAATGGTATTATGTTTCCTAATTACTAACCTGGCTCAGTAAAAACTAATCAAGGGGCTTAAGATGATGATAAATGAACTTGGATGACATGGGAAATGAAAGCCATCCACCAGCAGGATAGACCTGTGTGCTGGCTGGGTTAGAGGCTTCAGAGAGGTCTTGGCCATTTGTCAGCTTAGACGAGGGCCTCCAGGCACCCCCCCCACCCCGCCGCCTCCACCCCTGTCCCCCTCTTGTCTCTCCAACATCCCCAATTTTGGTGCCTCGTTAGACTTGTATTCCTGAGGCTGTATCAAATGCTTTGGGCCTTTCTCAACTGTCTCGTAAAAATGTTCCTGCCCAGTATCTCTAGGTCTTGTAATAACTGAGCATCTCTGTGACTATCTGATCATGGGCAAAGTCACATTTCCTAAGCCTTTGTTCCCTCTTTTGTAATACACATCCACCACATCTAAAGGGCATTGCTCCCAAATGAGCAGGAACTTTAATGGCCCTGGATGACCAGGAAGCCTTGTCAACACAGCCAGAGGCTACCAAGAAGAGGCATCAAAGGGGACACGGCTTGTGCCGTGTCCCAACCATGGGGCTAACCAAGTTCAGGCTTTATTGGTGTTTAGGGACAATCTAACCCAACCACACTAGGGAAGAGGGGGAAGGCACAGTAGATATCGGTTCTGTCACAACCTACTTTTCTATATATACACATATTTTTGGCTATCCTATCCCTACCACCTCTCCTTTCACCCCAATCCCTAAATTGCAAACAAATTTTTGTAACAAATATTCATAGTCAAACAAAACTTAATTTCCACATTGATCATCCCCCCAAATGACATGCCTTCTTCTGTATCTTGTGTTATGAGGTGGATAACATACTTCATCACTGCTCCTCTGCAGTTGTGGTTGGTTGATCAGAATCTTTAAGGATTTCAAAGTTTGTTTTTTTAATAATGTTCTCATTTTGTTCACTTTATCTGCATTATCTGTTCTTCTAAGTCTTACTAGGTTTCTCTGAAACTCTCCCTTTCATCATTTCGCTGCCTGCACATAACCTCCCTGGGCCTCAGTTTCCTCATCTGTAAAATGAGGATTAGATGGATGACTCTTAAGTCCCTTACAGCTCCAAACCTCTAATCGAGTACAGAAGGAAGACTCTGATATTTTCAAAACCAAACACAGAGGTTTTGATCTTGGGTTACTTGGGTTAATAAGGGTGCCAACAACAGAGGAAGGTTACAAGAGAGGCAAAGTTTATGGGTATTTCCTGGCAGGGGAGACAGGAAAACAAAGATGAGTTTAACATATGACACATTAGGTCTGAGGTCCAGATAGAGACGTCCAGTAAACAACTAGAAATATGAAACTGGAATTTAGGGGAAACAACAAAGATGTGGAGTCACTGGAAGAGAGACAATAATTAAAGACAAGAAAGTGTCTGAAATTGCAGAAGGAGAAAGAAGAGACCAGTTTCCAGAACAGAGTCTTAAGAAAGGAGAATAACTAATGAGAACTGAGAAGGAGCAGTTAGAGAGAGAGACTACATGGTACAGTACAAAGAGTAAAGGACTTGGAGTCAACAGACCAGGGTGGGAAAACTATTTCAGTAAATCACTGGCTTTGAGACCACAGGCAAATCACTTAATCTCTGAAAACCTGTTTCCTTATCTGTGAAATGGAGATAATAATTCTTGCACTACCTCCCTCACAAGGTTGCTTAAATGATCTGTGATTCACTGATTTAAGAGTTCCCTCTGATGCTGCAGGTTATAACGACCAAATTCGCCCATCCCATTCATGTCTTGTCCACGTCTTCCCACAGTAGGTCACAGGGGGTCACGTAGAGTCATGAAGGCCCTTTTCACTTTTTCCTGACATTGCCAGCATACCAGTGAAGCCATATTTTTCCATCTGTCATCTCTCATTCTTGTCTCATCTTCAGGCCATCTTCTCTTCCCACCAAACAATTCCCCGATAACGTTTTTCACTACTGTTACTTGAGGTTCCTTATCCCTACCACATGGCTCTCCTTCTCCCAGTCTCCTCTGTGCGATACTCATTTTTATTTCTTCAGAAAGTAATTGTGTTCCATGGCTTGTTGTCATATACCAACAATCAGCAGAATACTAGGATTGAAAAGATGGACTTTTGTTTTCATGGGAAGCTTGGGGTCAGCAAAGGAGTGTTGCAATTTCTCAAAAGCATTCTTTTGCAAACTTTAAAATGCATATAAATGCAAGCAGTTATTATTATTAGGACCTTACTACATCTCTATGCTCAATAACTAGGCTTCCGTAAGTATGCTCAGACCTTTCCCAGATTCTGCTGCCAATGTAAGGTGTGGACCTAGAAATGCTACGTTAAATAGTTTACTGGCTCAGTAACAATCAACATGTCTTCCTGCTGGCCCTATGATGAAACAAGCAGGAACCCAGTGACTGGGAATCATTCACCCCAGTCCTTTCCCTACACATGTGCCCTTCCTTTTTGCTTAGACTAGCTTTGCATAGATTTTCCCTATTTTCCTATCCCTAGGAGCTGGTACTGGCACATCCTCATCCTTCTGACTGCGCTTGCCTAGACTTTGGCCCACTGCAGCCCAAGGGTCTGTTCTGAAACATAGATTTGGGAGAACAAGAGAAGACATTAAAGGATGAAGGAAGTCAGGAACCAGATTCCATAAAAACAAGGAGACTTTAAACGGGGGCCACTTCTGCCGCAATAGGAAACCTCATGTTTCTTTGCTGGGGCAGGACAAACACTTGACACAGCCAGGTTAGGGTTCTACAGGTTAAGACTTGGTCAGTGAATGGGTTATAGAATAACTAGAGTGCAGACTGTAGTACCAGAGTAGGAGTGAAGTTTTAGAGCTGGAGGGATCCAACCCCCTCATTTTACCACTGAGGGAAACCGAGGCCCAGAGAAATTAAGTGACTTGCCCAAGGTCACACCAGTAGGAAGTGGAGCCAGAATTTGAACCCAATTGAATTCCAAATGCAGCTCTGTTTTCACAATATCATGCTGCATCTCATATCCATGAAGCTCAATATCTACTTTTAATACATTGTGATATGTGCAAAACATCTACTTCAAATACATTGTGATAAGGGCAAAAAAAAAAAATCAGTATCCAACACAATTCCACGGTTTTAAAAAACTAAGTTTACCAAAATTTAGAAATAATCAATGCACTTACCAACATGGATATTATTTTTAAATGCAACATTATGGAGCTGAAATATTAAATGTCGGCTAAATTTTTCATCAGTGCTAGAATCCAAGTTGAGAACATCTTCTGCTGAACAATTAACATTGAATAACTCTTGAAGGGCTGTACAAACATGCTAGAAAATACAAGAATATAAGCAGTTTGAATGCTTTAATTTTTCTTAAGAAAACATACTACAGAATTTGGAAGCAAACAGAATCCACCTAGTGACTGGTTTTATCAAAATCAAATTGTAAGCAGAAAAATTTCTCACACAAATTTAAACACAAATGCAGGTTTGCAAACCTGAGTTCTGAGGAGAATCCGAATTTCCTCACTCTGAAATTAACTAATTAAACTGCTATTTGATTGCTAACTGTGGTTTCTGAGCTGTTGTTTTACCCCCAGGTTAGAGACTGGCCCAGGAAAATTCTGTCAACAATAAATATTTGAACACACATTTATATGCATGCTCGATGAGAAGACATGAAAGGGTTGCTAACTGAACTGATAAAAGGCATACCCTCATCAATGAGGTCATAAAGCCACTGAAATATAAGATTCATCTTGAGTGTCAACATTACATGCCATTAAAACACCTCCAACTCAAGCCATTTTACTCCAGTTGTTTCTGAGAAAGGAGATAATTTGAAGGCAGTGTGGTATAGTGGAAAGATTGCACGATTCAGAGTCAGAGAACAGGGGTTCAAATCCTGGCTCTGTCATTTAACTCCTGTGCCCCTGGACGAGTCACAACCTCTCTGGTCTCAATTTCCTCAACTCCAAAATGAGGGGTTAGATGAGTTGACCTTTAAGGTCCCTTCCATCTCTAAATCTATGATCCTATGAAATGGATGAAGGGAAAAACATTGACTCTGATTATCACTGTTTCCTACAGATCACAAGGATGAAGTCAAAAGAGTTAGAAGCTGCTTCTGCCTACATACTGTGGACTTCTGCGCCAAGCAGAGCAGCATGACAGCCAAGAGCAACATTTGTTTAGAATAGGGGCCTTCTGCATTCTCCTCATCATGGAGGGGAGTGACATCAGATTGTGAGCTATATTAAATCACAAAACCTAGAAAAGCAGTGAAAAAGACAACCTGCAGGACATTTGGTGTGAGACCCAGCTAAGACAGATCATCTCAAGGGCACATAAACATGAAACAAGCAGGACAACAGGACACATTAAAAAACAAGGCAGGTTTGCCAACATTTGAGAATAGAAACCTATTTTAATCACAGATGATCATGAATTCTACCACCTCAGTACCAGATATGAGAAAATGGCATTTAGTCAGGAAGAATGGATAAATCTGACCAAACACACATAGAAGAAATGCATGCATCATGTAGCACATTAAAAGAATCAAGAGATTGATTTTTAAGGCATATCAGAGAGGGAAAGCCTCTGAAAGAACGGAAAAGACCAGAGATGATATTATTAACTACAGAAGGTTGAAAAGACAATAGCCAACTACCAAACCACCTATCTGTTTTGCCATTGCAATAATATCCTTATGATAATACTCTAGAAATGCTTTGAAGGGGTTATTTTTGATGAAAATATGAGAAGGAAACAGAGACTTCTACAGACTTTCTTGCATAGCAGAAGACTTCTTCACGTCACACAAGTGACAGAGGTGTTTACAAGAATCTATTGTTTAATGTCTGATTACACCAAAAAAGAGTTTGATTCAGCAGGGCATAATGCAACCTTAAAGGCTCTTGTCCAGTAAGGAGACTCCTATAAAATGTTAAAATGGTAAAACCCTCACTAACTGATTCAACCAGAGATAATTCTTCTCATTAATTCTCTGAAATATCAATATATTAGGTGGTAAAAACGGAGAAGTATTCGCTAAAAAGACATTCCCCACTGTCAGGGAGGGTGTCCTGCACCAGTCCAAAGGGAAGAGGGTTTCTGTACAGATGCAAAGTTTATAGGCTATTTCTGTTTGTGGATGACATTGTGTTGACTTCATCAAACCTCAGGACACTAAAGGCCCCTCCTCAGTAACATCCACAGCCACTTTAAAAGATACAATCTAGAAATCCGTACAGGAAAAACAAAGTAGATGAAGAATTCAGATTATAGTATGCAGGACTAGGCACTGGATATGGATGAGCTGGGCACATAACTGAACAAGAAAAAACAGGCAGGATGAATCACGTTTGGGAAACTACGAAGCACTCTGAATGATCTCATGTTGGCTGCTACCACAATGTTCCTCTGTGTAACACATTACTCTATTAGCTGTGTAGTAGCACAGTAAACGATAGATCATCATGGTTTCAAGATAATTAAGATGACAGGTAAGCCAAGGGCAATTGAAAGAGGCATGGTGGGGATAGGAAGACTGGTCAGTAATGAGTAGAACCTGAAAAGTGGAATAAGGACCATCACATCAAGGATGTCTATCTTGGGAAAAGTGGATCAATCTCATAGGGATAACAGATGTACATCCCAAATGGTGTACATGTATTTAGCACACCTGGAAAAAAGACTCTGTAGAGGCTTTACAAAGGGTATTGATAATACCATTAGAGGATACATTGTAATCTGTACCAATGGCAGGGATGCACATACCAACCAGCTTTCAGAGCTGTCAGAGTCAAGTGCAGCTCTGACCATGTCACCCCACTACTCAATAAACTCTAGTGGCTCCCTATCACCTTCGGGGTCAAATATAAAATCCACTGGCTTTTAAGTTTTCTTAACCTGTCCCCTCCCCACCCTTTCAGTCTTCCTTCACCTTATACCCTCCCTATTAGACTCCTTGTTGTTCCTCAAACAAGATATTCCCCTGCCCCATTCCTTTGGGCTTTGTCACTGGCTCCGTATCCTCTATGCCACGTCTGTCTGGGATGCTTTCCCTCCTTGTCTCCATTCCTGGCTTCTTTCAACTCCCAGTTCAAATCTTACTTCCTACAAGAAGCCTTTCCCAATCCTTCTTAATGCTAAAGCTTGCTCTTTGCTGATTATTTCAATTTTTTCCTCAATATAGCTTGTTTGTATGTTCTTTCCCTCATTAGACTGTGAGAACACATTGCCTTTTACCTTGTTTTGTATCCCCAGAACTTAGTACAGTACATGGCACATAGTAGGTACTTAACAAATTTACTGATTGACTCCTTAGATGCAAGTATAAAAATAAGAATTTTTATTATCCAAGCTAAAAGGGCAAATGAAGCATTTTCTTTTTTGAAAGTTTCATTGATGTTTTGTTTTAATGTCACAAACATTTATAGGTTATCCCCATCATGTAAGAAGTCTTTTGCAACAAAGTAAAATAAGAGAGTAAAACTAGCAATATTGTGACCTTATTTCCACAGCTGTAATAACTTCTGTTTTAGTTTTAAAATGTTTTTTTTAAATTAACAGAAATCTATTTTTTCTACCTCTTTCTTCCCACCCCATTTTTTAAAAAAGGGGAAAAGAAAAACAAATTCCTTGTGACAAATATGCAAAGTCAAGCAAAACAAGTTCTCTCAATGGCTGTATACAAAAATAAATATATGTCTCATTCTCCACCCTAAATCTGTCCCCTTTCTGTCAGGAGGTAGGCAGTGTGTTTCATTATTGGTCCTCTGTAATCATGGATGGTTAGCATAGGGATCAAAGTTCTCACAACTTTTGTGGTCATTCCTGTAGTTTATAGAAATCCTCAAAATTATTTATTTTTAATGATATTATAATATGAATTGTTCTCCTGGCTCTGCTCCTTCACTCTGCATCAGTTCATACAGATGTTTTCATGTCTCTTTGGAATCATCTACTTCTTACAGCATAAGAGGACTTCTCACATTCATATACTATGCCTTATTCACCCATTCCTTATCTGATGGTCATACTATTAGTTTCCAGTTTTTTGCCATCACAAAAGAAAATTATTAAATAGTTTTGTGCATATAAGATCTTTTTCCTATTTCCTTGATCTTTTTAGGGTCTAGGCCTAACAAAAAAAAATCTTCAAGAATTGTAAATCTGACTAATGCAAAATAACCAACAAGCTAAAAGTAACAACTTTTTCCTTAAAAAAAAAAGGAGGGATAGTAATGTTAAATAAAGTAACATTGTTTACACTGGCAGCATCTTCATAAAGTAATGCTTATTTTATTTTATTTTATTTTTAGGCAATTGGGGTTAAGTGACTTGCCCAGGTCACACAGCTAGTAAGTGTTAAGCGTTTGGTCTGAAGTCAAATTTGAACTCAGGTCTTCCTGACTTCAGGGTCACTGCTCTATCCAGTAATGCTTATTTAAAAAAAAAAAACAAAAAACACAAAAATACAGTTCCACTTTAACTTGTAATTCATCTTTTCATTTCTAATAACGTTGAATTGGGTTTGGATTTCTCTCTTGGCAGGTGAGGAGACTGGGCATGAGCAGCTGGGAAGGAACACAGAAGACTGTACTGAACTGAAAGGAAATCAGGGATTTTAACAGTCAGAAGCAAGGAGGAAATGCATGGGGGACAGAGAGTGTGAAGGTATGGAGACAAGAGAAGGAGTGTTGGGTATGAATAATCAGAAAGCCAAGCTGGATTCCGTGGCTAACCAGCTCAACTCTGCATTATCCTCTGCTCTTGACTCCCTTTTCCTATTGCTCTTGAGAGAAATGATTATTTCTTTCTTATATTAATAACCAATTATTAATTGAGATTAAGATTTTTTTTCTTTCTATTTTCTCATTCAGAAATAAACCTCTGCAGGTTAACATAGCCAGTCTTTGAAGGACATTATTGGCCTTGCCCCAAAATCTACCCCACCTAGATCATCTTATCTAGGTGGAATTGTAACTCTACCCAACCAGAAAAACTTTATACAGAGAATTTAATCTAGGTGAACTCTGGTCCATTGTGTTTCTACTCAGGCTTAGGGTGGGATGGGTGAGGGCAGATCCTTTGCATAGACTGGAGGGGTAGTCTGGAGTAACAGTGACATAATCAAAGTCATGCCCCCCAGATTCTCATTAGAATAGGTCGACTTCTCATTATAATATTCATTTTCTCATTAATTGTTAACCAATCAGAGATGATTGCTGCCCGTGGGAACATCCACTCTTCAAAGAGCATATTAGTATTGAGAGGCCTCCCTGATTCATCTTTGGTTTATGAGAGAAGGCCAAATGACCATTCTTTTATTATTTGCTACTTATAATTAATAAAATGATTAATTACCCAGAAACTAAGTCTCTCAAACTTTTCATACATCACACCCCTTACACCTTGGCCAGCTCCTGAATTAAACCCTGAATTAATTTCATCATCCACTGACTTTGCTCTTATGCAACTGCTGCTGAATAGAGTTGCAAGAAGTCACACAGCTATGCTGACTAGATCCATGTTAGATCATTTCAAAGGGGTCCTCACTGCAGCAAGGTGTCCTTGTAAATCTCCCTAACTTCTCTATCCCACTCACCATAACAGCTGTTCCAAACCTTCCATTATCTCCTCAGGCGTCCCGCAGTACCCACCCCTTTACCCTCTCACCCAAGGGGCTTGCACTCTATACTTTTACCAAGAAAAATCAAGGCCATTAGCCAAGAGCTCCCTCTTCTCCCCTTCTACCTCTTATAACCCTTTGACATCATCCCCTAGTGTCTCCTCCTTTATTCCAATCTTTGATGAAGAGGAAACCCTTTGGCCAACCTTTCCACATGGAATTTTAATCCCTTTCCCTTCTGTCTTCAATAGAGTGCCCTCACTCTCATCCCTTTTCTTCCTCTACTCTTTAACCTCTCCCTCTCTATTGGTTCCTTCTCTGCTGTCTTTGAATACTCCAAAGTCTCCCTTATCCTTAAAAAATCCTCACTAGATTCTACTAGCCCCTGATAGTCACCATCCTATATCTATCTAGCTACCTTCAGCACTACTTTAAAAAGTTGTTTATACTTGTTACTTCTATTTCCTCTCTTCTCTTCTGAATCTGGCTTCTTATCTTATCACTTAACTGAAACTGCTCTGGGAAGTTATCAATGATCTCTTAATTGCCAAATAAGATGGTCTTTCCTTAGTCCTCATCTTTTTCAACCTCTCTGCACCATCTGACACTGCTGACCTTCTCCTCTTGGACTCTCGTGTGACATTTCTCTCCTTTGGTCCTCCTCTGGTTTCCTTTCTTGGTTTTCTTTGCTAAATCATCATCCACATTCACCCCTTAACTCTATCTTAGGCCCTTTTCTCTTCTCTCTCTATATACTCTTATCACTTTGTGACATCACTGGCTCCCATGGATTCAATCATCTTCTTCATGCAGATGACTCCCAGAACCATACTGGCTGTGCTCAGATTCAGTTTCACCATCACCAACAGCCGACTAGATATCCACAGATTCCAAATCTTGTCCATTCTTAGAATTCTTACATCTGTCTCTTTATTTACATGCAAGGAGGAGCATCTCCCTAATCAGGCCCTCATTATCTCACAGCTTGCTTCAAGTCCCTTTCCTCTCCAACTGGTGCTCCACACAGCCACCAAAGTCATATTCCTCTAGTACAGGTCTGACTACGTCAGTCCCCTGTTCAATAAACTACAGTAGTCCTCTATTACGTCTAGGATGCAATACAAACCCCTCAGGTTGGCATTTAAAGTCCTTCACCACCTCATTCACATTTACCTTTCCAGTCTTACATATTATTCCCCTTTAAGAAATCTATGGTCCAACCAAACCAGGCTTTTAACTGTTTCTCACACCTGACAACCCAGCTGTTGTCTCTACACCTTGGCACAGGTGACAGCCCCAATGCCTCCGATGCTCCCCTCCCCCCTCTCTCAGAAGGCCTGGTTTCCTACAAAGCTCTGTTCCAACACCACTTCTGGTGTGAGGCCTTCCCTGATCCCCAACCTTTTAGTCCCTCCCCTACAAAATTACTTTGTATTTATTCATCTACTCTACGTGGACATGTTGTTTCCCTTGAGAGAATACCAGCTGCTAAACGGAGGGACTGTTTCATTTCTGTCTGAATTCCCAGTGCCTGACCCGGAATAGAACCTTCATAAAATCTTGAGTCAGAGCACCTACATTTGAATCCCAGCTGCCTCTTCCTACCTGCATCATCTTTCAGGGCCTCAGAGGGATGTGGACTGGACTAATTCTGTGTCACTTCCAACTTTAAATCGATGATCTCCTTTCCTTTATGAAGTGATCCAAAGTGAGATCCGTAGAACTACAACTACGTTCATATACACTACAATTATATTTAAAATAAGTAAGAAAAACTAAACAAAGACAAACTTAATAGAACTTCATAGAGACCTAAAAAGGGTCACACTAAACAACACTGTTGATAGCTTACTTGTTAATTCCTTTGGTTCTACCTTGGTAAATGTTAAAGATTCTTTTTATTGAAAATTTTCCTCCTTATTCTGTATGTTTGGTTATTCATTTTTATCAGTGGTTATTAAGTTTATATTAAAATAAATTTAAATACACTGTATGACATCTTACCCAACCTGCCATTCTGTTCATTGTCTGGTCCAAGTGGAAATCAAAGAGAGAAAAGTCAAAAGGTGGATGACAGGAGGGAGAAACAGGGCAAGTAAACAGTTCACACATGTCATGAATTAGACGAATGTCTTTTGAATAAATAAGAGTGGAATGTACTTGGATACATTAAGAACAACTTAGGTCTATAGTTAGGCTTTTACCTCAATTAGTAGTGCAACCATTTCTTTTCCATCTGCTCCTGGATTGGCAGGTTTACTAAACTCCAAATCAAAATAAAGCTTGCAAACAGCATTTTCAGGAATAACTTCATAGCAGTGCATGAGATTTTTCCTACGTTAAAAAATTCAAATAACACATTTCAGGTCATAGTTACTTTAGTGCTATACTTAAAAATGGCAGACTTGTTGTAAATTATGTTTTGCCTATGTATTATTATTAAACAATACAGATGATTGGTATTCAGTCAATTCAGTCATGTTCAATCGTCCACGACCCTGTTTGGGGTTTTCTTGATGCAGATACTGGCATGGTTTGCCAATTTCTTCTCCAGCTCATTTGACAGATGAGGAAACTGAAGCAAACAGTGACTTAAGTAACTTATGGTTAAGTGACTTGCCATGGGTCACACAGATAGTAGTGTCTGACACCAGATTTGCACTCAGGAAGATGAGTCTTTCTGACTCCAGGCCTGGCAATTTATCCACTGGACCACCTAGGTGCCCCAATGTAGATGACAGTGTAATGTAAAAAGGCATTGGACTTGGAGTTTCCCTTGGACAAGTCACTTGAGTGCTTTCCATTTCCCCACCTGCAAAATGGAGATAATATTTGCCTACTTCAACCTAATCTCTACTCTGAGACTTCACTTTCTTGTAGTGTCATAGCGATCCTGAGCTCTCTCAGGCTAGGCCCAGCAGGGTTTGGGGGTGGGGGTGTCATGTTCTCAGACAGATCTTACCAACTTGGGAAGGTGCTCAAGGCTAAAAGATGTTCAGAGAAGCTCAGCACCAGGTGAGCCACCAGGTGCTTAATTTTTTTTTTGGCCGTAGCATGGAGGAACTTGGCCAGTGGAGGGAGTACTCACGCTTTTAATAAAAATTATGGGGTTTGGGGCATATTGAAGTCTTATCTACTTCACAGAGTTGCCGTGAAAATATCAGATAATGTTCTTAAAGTGCTTTGTTAAACATTAAATAAATGCAATTATTACGTGACTCTAAAATTAACCATTAAAAACACTTTCATGGATCACGAAGAAGATTTTCACATTCCATTTAGGTAGACAATCTTTGTTCAACAGTACATATTTGTTACATGCTAATTTTTTTTGTTATCACGAGTATTTGTTTTCTTACCAAATCAAGTATCTACCTCTTTATGATAATTATAATATGAATATTAAATTTTTTCTAGTGGTATACTTTTAACATTTGCCTCTGTAAGGGCCATTCCATGAGCCTAAGTCATACACTGTATTACTTTTTTTCTAACATCTGACAAAAAATTTATCGAGATCATAAAAATGATTCTTGCTTCAGAATTAGGTTATGCAAAGTAACTAATTCTGTTATGAAATCCAATTTTGATTACATTATATTGATTATATTATTTGATTATATCAATCTTACAAAGTAAGAAAGGGAAAAGAAATATATGCATATGGGCCCATGTGTAATGCTTCCATAGGATACTTACCGGGACTTATAGTAAAACCAGAGTTGAGAATAAGTTGTTACAAGGTATATACGTTGTCCATCTCCCGCTTTATGTTCCAAAGCAAATACATGTACATCCTTTATAAAGACAAAAATAATATTCCAAAATGCTCATATAATTCCTATCCAAATCTGTTTAACTCCTGAAAGCTAAACTGCAAGTTATTCACTATCTTGGTTAAAAATTTACCATTCACAAGTAATTTTTCTCTATAAATTAGGAACTACCATTTTCATATCATGAAAAACAATCTTCAGGAGTTCTCACTTCAGTGTTAAATATCCTAGTTTGGCTACCATAATCATTATGTGCAGGACTGTTTACAGATCAGCTACTTTTTTTTTGGTTAAGCTCATCTCTGAAACTATTTTCAGGAAGTTATGACAAAAACAGCTGATGAGCATGCATGGGACAGCAGTGGGACTCTTCTGGGGGAGGGGACGCAGAGGTGCTAGAATCTTGAGCAGATACATTGTTGATTAGTGAAATTTTAGTTCCCTAATAAGTTTCTTTTGTTTTGATTTGATAGTAGTTTGTGAGTTGGCCCTCTACCAGGATTTTCATTTTCTTTTTTCTTCAGTTCTCAGAGTTCCCCTCCTCTAGCTAACCAATCATTTCCTCATAGAAGTAGCCTTATTTTTCTATTACCCTTGGTTACTTCGCTTCCTCTAGGTATTATGGAAATAACCCTAGATTTGGGTTCATGTGTAAACAGGTGCAGAGTGGAAGGACGCAGAATCAGAAGAACAAGTCACTGTAACATCAACATTACAAAAACAAACATTTTTTAAAGATTGAAAATTGATGAACAAAACGAGAAGAACCACAATAACAATTTATACAATGAGCACAACACTGTAAAGACAAACAACTCTGAAAGCCGTCAGAACTCCCATCAATGCAATGATCCTCCATGATTCCAGAGGGCCAAGGAAGAAGCAGGCTCCCAATGACAGAGATGTGATGGATTCAGAGGGCTGGAGGAGACATATTTATTCTTGGACACTCTGTTGACTCCCTGAATTTTCCCATCCATAGATCACTGGCGCCTTCTTTCAAGGTACCTGGATTACATGCATATTCCACTGAAGTCCCCAGATAACCTAAAGAGAAGATGGTAGGACTTCCCTCTCCAAGAGAGAAGAGAGGATCTTTCTTATATTGCCCAGATGATTTCATTAATTGCCACAACAAAACTACAGGACCCAGTATTCCCTAGTCTCTGCCTCATCTTCAATATGACATCCAAGGAGCTGCATACGTAATGCTGAATTGGACAACTTGGCTTCATGGCTAGGACAGGGTCCCTTGACTTCATAAGGTAGAGGTAGAGGAAGGGAAGGAAATAAGCATTTACGTAGCACTTAGTATATGCCAGGCACTGGCTAAGCACTTTACAAATATTACTTCACTTGATCTCATTTCAGGTAGCAGGACGTCTTACTGGATAACTAGTTAAAGAGATGGGACTTACTAAAGAGAAACTGCAAGCTATTTTACTCCCTCAGACGGGCTGGTATAATCAGACTGTCACTGCAGTACAAGGGCCCTGAGGAAACTCCCCGCTTCTCCAAACTCCTAGGTCACTTAGTCAATGACACGACCCTATGGGGACTAGGTTACTCCAGTTGTCTTTGGGTGTGAGAAGCACTCGGTATAAGGGAAGACAGGTGCCAGCTAGCATCAACCAAGCAAATTTTACCTACAGCAGTTCAGGTATACACACTGATGAGATAGCAGCTATTACAACTGTTTACACATGGTTAGTGCAAAGTAAGTTGTTAGGGGAACTCTCAGGAGGCTATTCTCAAGTCAGGTGATATTGAGACGCTCCTGCTATAACCTGGAAGATGCCAAAGGCTCATAAAAACACACATCTACACTTAAGCTGTAAAACATTTTAAAAAGAAAGAACAAGAAAGAGGCTGTCTTACCTCTTTACAGGTTCTGACAAAGTTAAAAGCTTGAGCTTGACGATGAAACAGCCTCCATACAGAGGAGGGGTCCCCTGGCTCAGACAGCCGGGGCCTATAGACTGAGCCCAGCGGTCTTTTCTCATACTGGGATGCTCGTTCTCCAATCTTCCTCAATTTTTCTTCCCATTGTCTTTTCATTGATTCAGAAACCACGGAAATATAAATCCTAATATGCCACAATTCTGGAAATCCTCAACTGATACGTAATTTCTGTTTCAATAAAGAGGAAAAATGAATACAAAGTTAAATGTCTAGAATTTATTCCTTTCAGTAAAAAAATTTAAATTGTTTGACCTCCAGCAAGTGAGTTCACATTTCTGCATTTGCTTCCTTCTCTGAAAAATGAGGGGATGGACTTAATAATTTCTAAGGTAGCTTCCATTTCTAAATCCTATGATTCTTCATAAAGATGAAAGAAGAGTGGGAGAAAGTGCTAAAAATTTTTAGTTTTGACACCATTGGAGGATATGAATGTACTATTAGGTTTCACTTTAACAACAACAATAATAATAGCTAACATTTATATAGTGTTTATTATGTGATCCTCAACAACAATGCAACATAGGTGCCATTATCCCCATTTTACAAATGAAAAAAACTGAAGCAAACAGAAGTTAAGTGACTTAGAGTGAATTCAGGTCTTCCAGATTCCTGGCCCAGAACTATCTCCACCGTGACACCTCGCTGCCCCTTTAATCATTATTATGCATTTAAGAAAGGTTACCTTACTTAGAGCTCCAGCTTTCCCATTGTGAAAATAATAAACTAAGAACCAAGAAAAAACCTCACAATTTTAAGAAAAACAATGCCTCAGAATAAAATTGACCACAGCCAAGTCAAAAGGAGGAAGTTCCAAACATTCACCCAGATAACTACTTTGCCCAATAGTCCTTGGTGTGGTAAGGATTGTGATTTAGAAGGAACTTGAGGAAATTCATAGAATGGATGGTTAGAGCAAGAAGGCACCATAGAGTGTAGCTAAATAATTTGATAGGTTGGGGGGAACACAACTACCCCAAATCCATTCTTAAGAATGAATCCGATATCAAGTTAACTTGATAAGTGTTAAGTGTTATATAAATAATAGCATCATTCCTCTTCCAAATATATCTTCACCTAACTGTTAATAAATGTCAAGTGTTAAAAATTCTAGCTTTGTCCTTTGTTGTCGAATATGAACCGTAAGTGTAGGAGCAAAATGGGAGGGAAGGAGGCTAGATGACAAAGGACGAGAAAATGGATAACATGGAAGGATACCACCTTTTTGGCTTTATCATTTATTTTTCACTCTTAAAACTTGGAAAAAATATAGAATGTTAGAAAGTTCTTTAATTTTTTGATGGAGAAAGAACAATCTTTGATATATAATATAAGGTTTTCTGTTGTCCATTTGCAACATTCTCCATGACAACGGCATATACTTCTGCCACTTGTTTTATGCCTCACCTGCTATTAATGATCAAAGAATTGACAAAGTTTTCTGTATTGCGTCTATGAAGCAAATATTCTATTACCTTAACGTATGAATAGGAGAGCCCTTATTGTGACAATTTTGTTCTACCAAATTAATGTTTTTTTTTTAGAGTCAATAAATTTTTTATTTAAGCATGTGATAGCAAAGATGCGGTTGGTTATAGAATATTAGTTGCAAGAGTTTACCTATCCCCTTTCATATTTTCATTAAAAATACTGTCAGCCCCTGCTTATTCTCATAAAGACTGTGTAGATACATGGGTCCGTAGCTTTTGATCTCTGAAACATTTCCCCCAGCAGTTATGCAAACCATTATTTTTTTTCCAAGAGTTTGTGTGAGTCTTAGCACTCTTTGCCTCCTTTTCCATGACTGTCACTATTCCTACAGAAAGGAGCTGCTTTGTATTTTTCTTTGTTTTGTGGGTTGCCATAGCCAAAACATGCATTTGCTAGTGACCTGCCTATTTAGTGAGACTATCCTTGGATAGCCATCACAACCTGTCATTGAGACTATTCAACCATCCTATTTCAGTATCAGCTTGCGTCCTACTTGTGGTCTTCAAGACTCCAGGGTCAATAAGGCATTGATGGAGGACTCTTACGGAGGTCATGGATGAGGGTCATATTTAGGGTACAAAAGTTAAATTTATAAATTATCTAAAAACCGTATGCTTCTAAGTACTCTTTGTCCCTTTTCCACACGTCTGTTGCTACAGAAGTGGAGAGTCGTTAAGCCACTTGGCATCTTTTTTTGTCTTTGACGTTAGGATAATCGGTTTGGGTAATATTTTGGCAATTGGTTTCCAATGTGAACTCTAAGTTATTTTAATTAGTGAAAACGTCTACAAAAGGACAGAAAAAACCATTCAGTGTAATCTCCCGGAGAGCAGGGACTATTTCAGGAAGTCTACAAGCGCTCACTGTTAAGCACTCACTGGGTAGGAGGTACAATAGCAAGTACTTGGAAGGGTTTATCCATCTAAGCCAGGCTGATCTAAGCAGAATAGCCTTACCCACCAAAGAGTTTATTTTCTAATAGGAGTGATAACATAAACAGAGTGAAGCAAAGGTAATTTTGGGAGTATGTTTCCTAATAGCTGGGGGAGGAGGGAAGGAAAAGGCCAAGAATGAGACAATAGAGCTGAGACTTGAAGGAGTCGAACCCTAATCATCTCACTCCAGGTTATAAGCCTCTTAGCCTTAAATTTTCCCCAATCCAAATCCATCTGCTACTCAGCTGTCAAACTGACCTTCCAGAAGCTTGTCAGACCAAGTCACACCTTCTCACACACACTCAAACTTCACTGCCCCCCTATTACCCCCAGAATTAAATATAAAATCCTGTTAAGCTCCTACAGCACTCCTTAACCTGGCCTTATTCAAACTTTCCAATCTTTCCATATACTCTCCTATTCAGCATCACTGGCCTTCTGGCCATTCTTGACACAAGACACTCCATTTCCCAACTCCAGATTTTTCCTTGGCTGTCCTCCTCATGCTTGGAAGTGTTTCCATCCTTTCCCCCTTCCTGGCTTCGCTGGCATTGTTCAAACCCAACCTAAATTCCAGTTTCTTCAAGCTTTTCCCAACCTATTTATCTTGTCTCTGTCATGTTTGTATACAGTTGCTTGCATGTGGTCTTCATCATTGAGTTGTAAGCTCCAGATGAGCAGAAGCTGTTTTTTGAATTTTCAATAGCTGTCCCTCCTGCCTGGAACTTTCTCCCTCCTCATCCTCACCTCTTGGTTTCACTTGACTTCCTAGAAGCCTTTCTCCATTTCCCTTGATCTTAGTGTCTTCCCTGAGACTTGTTCAGATGTGTTTCATCTTCCTAACCCTGTGGACCACGCTGTCCATGGGGTTTTCTTGGTAAAGGTACAGGAGTAGGTTGCCATTTACTTCTTCAGTGGATTAAGGCAAACTGTGATTAAGTGATTTTCCCAAGGTCACTATTAAGTATCTGGGGCTGGATTAGGGTGCCACTGAGGCACCTAGCTTACCTCTGAGTCTACCCCCAATTTTTATGTTGTATATAGTTTATTTGTTTATATGATTTCTCCTCCATTAAATTGTATGCTCCACAAGGGTAGGTATTTTTTTTTCCTTTCTTTATATCTCCCAGTGTTTAGCTGAGTGCCTGGTACACAGCAAGTACTTAGTAAATGCTTGTTGAGGGTGACTACTAGTATTCTTTAAGTGTACATTCTCTCAATCCTTCTTCCATCTCCTTTCATAACAGCTTCTTTGGGACATTTTTATCTTTGTATTCCCAAAGCCACATTTTGTTGATGTTCAGTTTTCAGTTGTGTTCTGCCACTTGTGATTCCATTTGGGGTGTTCTTGGCAAAGATACTGGAGTGGTTTGTCATTTCCTTCTCCAGCTCATTTGACAGATGAGAAACTGAGGCAAACAGGGTTAAGTGACTTGCCCAGGGTCACACAGCTAGGAAAGTGTCTGAGGCCGTATTTGAACTCACAAAGATGAGTCTTCCTGACTCTAGTCCTGGTGCTCTATCCACTGAGCCCCCTAGCTACCCTAATGCCACACAGTAAGAGCTTAATGTTTTTTTTAACGAAATTAGGCACTTGCTGCAAAACTAAACTGCTATGTCATCTCGAAGCTCAGAAACTTTCATCGGACAGGTGCAGGGGTCACCTATCCTAAGCCTGAAGGGGCTGTCAGAGGGGGCCCGTCCACCACAGGGCCAGGATAAGCAGGCGCTTAATGCTTGCTTGCTAACTAGACTGTACCCAGATAAGAAACCTAGGCTTATGGAAGGGGGGGCGGGGCACCATATAAGGAAATGTATGCGGGGCCTTCAAGGTAATTTACCCCGACGCTTCCCCGCCCCCTCTCCCGCCCCATATTTAAAAGTGTGGCCCAGACAAGTGCAAAGGCCTGCCTGCCCAGCGTGGGGCCGGAGCCCATCTCGTTCTTCCCCCGCGCTGCGCGGATTGGCCCTCGGCGCCTTCCGTACCCCTCCACCCAGCCCACAGCCTGGACCCCTCTTGCGGCCTAGACCCCCCCCCCGCCTCTTTGCCTCCCTATTTTCTTAATCCGGGGAAGCAGAGGACCGGTAGCCGTTCGCCCTCATTTTACCTAGGGAAATGGGAGGGACCGTTGTGGTGGAGGCCCAGGCAGCTTCTAGGTTACCAGCGCGGACATAACGCTCCAAACTTGGATCCCGCCGGACACCGCCTGGAAGTCTGTTGGGAGATTCAAACTGGGCGCCAAAGCGGCCCCGCCCACCGTGCGTCAGGGTGAAGGCGTGTGCGTAGGGCGGGGGAACGGAGGCGCGGAAGGGCTGGGGCGGGACTATCTCCATGGAGGCCAGTGGCTGGCCGGGGCGGAGGCGGAGCTTATCCCTGGTTACGCAAAGGGGGTGGGGCTTATCCGGACTCTGTAGAAACTGGCTCCGCTTAGAAGTCTTGTCATTCACTGCAGAAGGGGAGGGATTAAGCCTGTCTCGGGAGGAAAGAGTGGTGAGCACGAGACGAAGGCGGGGCTCACCTTGGGAGAGACGTGAGGGAGCGCGGCCCGGGGCTTATCTCTGCGAGTTTAAAATAGAGCGTTAGGGGGCGGGGCCTAGCCCATCCTCCAGGGCATTGGCAGTAGTTGCAGTGTGTTAGGCTGAGGTGCGGAGCGGAAATCGAACGCCGGTCGTCGTGCGGTAAGTGCTCCGCTCACCTACCCCCCAGCTTTGTCGGGCGCTCTAACTCCCCCCTGCCCCCTCCGAACGTGGCACCCCCGGGCGCCCCCGCCCCCACCCGGGGCTTGGCGCTGCTCTCTCCTTTCTCTCTCCGCTCCCTCTTTCTCCTCCCGCCTGTTGACGCCGGACCCCGGCGGAGGCCGGAAGAGAAGGAGACCCCGGGGTCGGCCTCGGGGCCGCGGCCGCTGCTGCTGCGCGTGGGGGCCTTGCCTTTGTCTGCCGTCTAAGGATGGCTTAGCGGGGGTGGGAGGGGACGGTGCGGGAGGAGGCTTCAAACAGCCCGCAAACGAGCAGGGGGGGTCTGCGGTAAAAACCTGCGAAGCCCCGAGAATACCGGCCAGATGGGGGGCCCGGGGGCAGGGGCTGGGGACTGGGCCGGAGCCGGAGCAGGGGGCCGGGACTCAGCCCGGGGGGGGGGGGGGGGGGGGGGCGGGGGGGGGGGGGGGGGGGTGACTCCGGGCCGCGAGGGAGGGAGGGTGAGTGCGGATTTTTTCCTTTGTTTCCTTAGAAACATGCCCAGGGCTATGACTACTCGGGTGACTGTCCTGAGTTTTAAGCCAATCCCTCTTAAGTAAACAGAATGACCGGGCCCTGGGGACACTGAAGTTCTCGCCTTTGTAGGCTGTTGAGCTTGGGATTCCTTGGGCTTTGTTTTGCGGAGGGGGCTTTTGTTGTTGTTCTAGATCCTTTACTAATCTGGAGCCAAAACATTTTTCAAAAGTGAAATATGTAATTACCGCCCCTTTTCAGATGTGGAGACGTGTGTCCGTGTGTCCCTCCCTGACTTTCTTCCGAAGGGTGATGCACTGGAAAGAGCACATGGGCTTTGGAATCAGACGACTGTAGTTTAAATCCTGTCTGTGACTTACCCTCGTGTGAGTGTGTGCGTGTCCGTGTGCGTGTCCGTGTCCGTGTCCGTGTCTGTCCGGCCGTGTCCCTCCCTGCTGTTCTTCTTCCAAAGGGTGATGCACTGGCTTTGGAATCAGAGGACTTTAGTTTAAATCCCGTCTGTGACTTACCCTCGTGTGAGTGTGTGCGTGTCCGTGTCCGTGTCTCTCCGGCCGTGTCCCTCCCTGCTGTTCTTCCAAAGGGTGATGCATGGCTTTGGAATCAGAGGACTAGTTTAAATCCTGTCTGTGACTTAACCTTTATGAACCTCTGTTTTCTTACCTGTTAGAGGGGCTTTGCTAGATACCTGTAATGGTCCTTCCAGCTCTAGATCTATGATACTTAGTCCATACCTACCCACGAACACTTTTATCCTTGGGATCTGGCCAGTTTGAAACTTCTCTGGCTGTGCTTAGCCTATATAGTTTATCTAATTGAGTCCAATAGTCGGAGGGATTACTTATCTATTTACTTCTTCTATTTCTTCAAGCCCTTTTCCCCTCCAGGATATTCTCTCTCTCTCTCTCTCTTTTTTTTTTTTAAAGGCAATTGGGGTTAAGTGACTTGCCCAGGGTCACACAGCAGGATATTATCTCTTACTCCATCCCCTACACTTACTGAATAATTAACGTTAACTACTTGCATCTCATCTGAAAAGGATTCCATCAGAAATTATAGTTAGAAGATGTGTACCAGAAATTGTTACAAGATGTGTATCAGAGAGGATCTTTAATAGAATTGAATTATGGAGGGTTTTTGTAACAATATAAAAACGAAACAAAGTAACTGCTGTTGGTGACTGTTGAGTCAGATTAGATTTATCTATTCCTCTAGAATGTTTGTAGAGTGTTCAGCCCTTTTAATGAGTTGACCCTGTCCTTGACTTAAAAGTGCTATCTATGCAAAAGTAGAGTAAATATATCACTCAATTTAGGTCTGACTATTTTGTACCCTTCTGGCTTTTGATTTTGCTCCCCCCCCCTCCAGTTTATTCAGGATGCTTGGGGAAACGAAAGCAGAGTTTTGGGGCATTTTGTAACAGCATCTTGAACCTCAGATCAATATATAGTAAACATTTTTACCAGATTGACTCATGCTGAGGGAAGACTTCATCAGCTCTGAGTGTTTTTGCAATTTTGGAGTCCAAAAAGAGAGGGTATAGTGATTTTTGGAAAGACTTTTGCTTCTAAACCACTTAACTTGCAACCATTAGTTTAGGGCATTTATGGGGGCAGCTAGCTGGTGCAATGGATAGAGCACTGGCCCTGGAATCAGGAGGACCAGAGTTCAAATCCAGCTTCAGACACTTGACACTAGCTGTGTGACCTTGGGCAAGTCACTTAACCCCCATTGCCTAGCAAAAACAAACAAAAAAAAGTGTAGGGCATTTAACCACTGTTTCACATTTCTGCAACAGTAATTTGCTTTTCCCAGAACCACTTTGAAATGTCCCCTGATGTTTTTCCAAGTGTTATTCCAAAAAACTAAACAGGCACAAATGAAAACAGAGGGAACAAAACAGGTTCTTTTTTTTAAATGAAGTAGCATAACATTTTCCTTAATGATGTGAATTGATTAGTCTCTTATTAGGTTAACCAAAATAATCCTGGATGAAAGATGCCAGGTAAATATATAATTTTCATAACTATGATAACATAAACCTCAATATTAATAGAGGCAACATGATGCAGTGGAAAACATGCTGGACTTTAAGTCAGAGGATCAGGGTTGAAAGCCTAGTTCCCCTTACTATATCTGTGGGACCTTTACTTTCCTCCCTTGCCATTTCCTTAACTACAGAATGAAGGGGTTAGAATCTATGCCCCTTCCAGCTCTAAATCTACGATCTTATGACATAATGACATAGGTATTATCACCATTTTGTATTGAGGCTTAGAGAGATTAAGTGATTTAGTGGTGGTGGTGGTGTTTTCTGATCCTGAGTCCAGAGCTCTTTCTCTTCCACTATATTGCTTCTTCCTAGAGTAATACTAAATTTTTTCAGCTCTTTACTTCTCTTGATGTAGACTATGATATGAACAACATAAAAGAAACATTAACTAATAATGGCAGTTGCTCCAGAATGAGAACTAAGTAAGATATAAACTGAGTTGATAATCAGCTATGTCCCAAAATGAGTTGGAAAAAAATTTTTAAGTGATACCTGACCAGGATGAAGGAAAAAATAATTTTCTGCAGTCCTCTATTCCAGTCGTTCTCAAAGTGTGGAATTTAGACACTGGGGATCCCTCAGACCCTTTCAGGGGTCAGAGGTCACAACTGTTTTCATAATATAAAGATAATTATTTGCCTGTTAAAATACTCATCCTACAATGTTACTTTGGAACACTGGTCAAAGTGACACAACTTTGGAGCGCCCAGTCAGTCTTAAAGGATCCATGACATTACCTTTGTCCCTCAGAGACCCACAGTGATTTTAAAATTAAAGCAATGACCAGAAAAAACATGAAAATGTCAGCAGTAAGGCTTCCATTCGGTTATAGCCTGTGTTTGGGATGGAGGCCGAGTTGCAAACAACACTGGAGGGCCAAGGAAAGACCTCCTATAAAGAATTCAGCTGGGACTCCCCAGCACAGAATTTTTAAACTCCCCGAAATAAAAGAGGCCTCAGCTGTTTAACCTGAAGCATGAATTCTTCAATGATGTCCCTGACACCTGGTCATTTAACTTCTCCTTCAAGACCTCCAGTGACAGAACCTCATTTTGATGTTTTGGTGTTCTTCTGAATGTCCAAGACTTGGTTCTGGAAGCAGATGCCTTTTCATTGTTTTTATTTTCAGCTATAAAGTTGAGTTGTTTTTTTACCCCATACCTGTACACCCAGGCTTGTTAGATCTCTCTGGTACAATTCTACCGTGACAAGTCCTGTTCCTTACTGGAATGTAAACTACTTGAGGGCAGGGACCAAGTCTTATTTATCTTCATATCTTCTTCTCCATCATCTCTCTCTTACCCAACTCTAGTCTTTCTACAAAGAGTGAGGGATTTTTGTGGGGGACCCAGGTGACCCTTGTAGAATTTGGAAAAAAATTTTTTGAACTGATAAAGTGAATGGTCTTACTACCCGTTGCCACACCTCTAGCTGCCATGCTATGCTGTTTGTAGGGCTTTGAAACTCTTGGAGGATGGACAGCTTACTTTGCTCCATGTTTACCAAGTGTTCTCTTAGCCAAAAGTGGCAGAATAGGTCAAGATTATATAGTAGGCAGGGGCAGCTAGGTGGTGCAGTGGAGAGAGTGCTGGGCCTGAAGTCAGGAAGAGCTATCTTCCTGAGTTCAGGTATGGCCTAAGACACTAGCTTTGAGACTTTAGGCTTTTTGCCTCAGTTTCCTCATTTGTAAAATGAACTGGAAAAGAAGATGGCAAACCACTCCTGTCTCTTGCCAGAAAACCTCTAAATAGGGTCACAGAGAGTCTGACTTGGCGGAAACCACCGAACAACAACTATAGTAGGCATTCAAAAAATGTTGTGAAATGGAATACTAAAGTGGAATTGCAAGATTATGTGACACAATTTGTAAACCATAAAATGCCATGTAAATGCTAGCTATTATTGATTATCATAATGCCATATGCTAAATTGCTGAGAACCTTCCCTGATTCCCTTGTTTCCCAGTTGGTAATGACTGCCCTCCACCCACCCTCCCACCCCATCCCCCAGTACACACACACCAAGTTCTTTGTTATATTCATTCTACTTGAGTGCCCTAATCTGATCTAAACTTTGTATTTCATTCACTGCTGGCCTGGTACTTTGCTCTGATTTGAATTTCTTTCTGAGGATTACATTCTCTCCATTGTAATTCCACACAGCACTAGTACAACGAATATACCTAGAGGGTATAAAAAGTGTAATATGAGTGATCTTCAACTCATAAGTGTGTTAGTACTTATGTACATGAAGCATTATATATCTATATCTCATTTTTAGATTTTACATTTTTCAGTTAGTTATGACTAGTCAACCTTACCTGATGGAGGCATCTTCAAAACTGCTTTTGCTAATAACCGTTTAATTTTTTTAAGTTACTAGCAGTATGACGTCAAAGGAAGATACAGTATCAATTGAAATGTCTTCAAAGCTGATAAAATTCAGAGCAGATGCAGAAATGTTAAAGGAGAAATAACCATTGAATCATTTGCCTTCTGTTTATTATTCTTTCTGATATATAATGTAATCTTTTTGAAAAATAGCAAATGTTTCTAATGGCAGACTTTTCCCTCAAGCCTTACACTATGAGATCACTATTCCTAAATTAGTGCATATTGAATTCAGCAGAATAGGAAGTCATCATTCCCTTAGGTAATACATGGATGAGGTAATGCTGCCAGTGCTCTTCTAGCTAGGATCCTCATTGTCCTATCAGAAAATGCTGGTAAGATCAAATAAAGGATATTTGTGTACTTTTCAGTGCAAATCTGTATTTGAGTATGGATAGGTTATAAATCCGTTATTGACCACTGACCTATATCAAAATAGCAAAAACAAAAAAAGAGCAACATTTGAAGAAAAATGGTTAGAGCTGCTTGTTCCTTAAAAATATGATTAACAGATAAGGGATTTAATTTAATGGCTTTTTGAGAGGACTTGGGATTTAATTGCTATAGGGTTTATCCTGCTGAGGAAGAAAGACCCTTCTGCTAATACAGGTGGGCACCTTCTCCCCTCTTAGTTGTCTGGAACAGTGAGAAGTTAAGGGTCTCTAAAAAGTCCAGGGTCCCACTACTAGCGTATCCACTACAACTGCAATGTCTTACACCAAGTGCTGCAAAATACAGGATGCTTGTGGAAATACTTTTCAGATTCTTACCTCATGGCTTCCTTTCTACATGGGAAAGTCAGTGAGGTGAACTTTATTTTTCACAGGCATTTTCTTATGATTTCTGCAATATGATATTGACAACTTTTTTATTTCTGGAAAGATATTTTGAAGATATCCTTCAGTTCACCAAAGCTATCAACTCCTTTTCCCGTTCCTTCACAATTTGACTATTTGAAGCAAAAATAAGCTATAATTTTGCATTACTTTTATGCTAGGCAGAGTGTTGGCTCCCTAAATGAGTAGAATCTTTAGTTCTGTGAAATACAAGATGATTTGCTGGGGGTTGGGGACAATAAAGGATATAAAGCTAAAAGAATAATTATTTTAAAAATTTCTATACTATAAAAATCTGATGTTTAACTTTTCTGTTTTCTTGTCAGTAATAGAAACAGCATGGCAAATACTGAAATTACAGTAGATTCAAAATCCACCAAAAGTTCAGTACTGTAAGTATTTCCATAAAAATTCTGGATCTTCTTGAAAATTTTAGTAACTAGGATTAAGCATAATAAAACAAGTTTTAAAATTTCCACAAGTGAGCTAATGTGATCTAATTGACAGGAAAAGTCACTGTACTGCCTCTAGTTGGTTAGGCTGTCCATGGTACTCTTCCTGGTTTTCTCCTCACTCTTTCCTCCATAGCTCTTTTTCTGTAGCTTCAATTCCTCTTGAAAATTATTCTCCAATTGACAGCTCCAGCCTCAGTCCTTCCCAGTGGTTCTAGTCCTGTGTTTTTCTAACTGCCTCCTGGTTATCTCTCTGACACCTCAAGCCCAACATGTACAAAATTAAATTCCTCTTCTAGTCTGAAAAAATATGTATTTACTAGGTCTGTGAGCCTAAGGAAGTCACTTACTTCTCTGGGCCTCATTTGTCTCTCTGTAAAACAAGGGAGCTGCACTGAGTGGCCCATAAGGTCACAACCAACTCTAAATCTGTGACTGGTTTTTATGTGGCATGGTACTTTCTTACCCATTAACATAGAAGATACTGAATAAAGGTAACCTTTTTGATGACTCAGCACTTTTTTTGCACATCAAATACTCTATACAAATTCTAGCACAAGTCAAGTTATTGAGTGCTTACTCTGAGCCAGGCTCTTTGTAAATGCTGGAAATACAAAGAAAGACAAAAAATACTCTCTACTGTCCAGATGTTCAGAGTCGAATGAGATACAAGCTGACAGCTATGTATGTGCAAACAAGATATATAGAGAATGAAGGGAAGGTTAGCACAGAGGGACAGCTCTAGCATTAAGGGGGATCAGAAAAGGGGTCTTACTGAGGGTAGAATTTTACCTGATGCATGAATGGAGCTAGGGAAGCTAGGAGGCCATGGCAGTGAGGGAAAGAACCGTAGGCACAGGGGATAGCCAGTGAAAATGCACAGTTAGCCAGTGGAGCTTGATGGCCCAGTCCTGCAGTCTGTGCTTCTGGGAGGCTGGGGCTCATGGATCTTTTGATTTCAAAAGCTCTGAGCTGAAATAGGGCTAAAGTCAAGCAGGTGCCTTTACTAAGTCTGGCACCAATATGGAGAGCCCCTGAGAATAGGGCACCACTTGTATGCCTAAGGAGGAGTGGACCAGTCCAGCTGGGAAGGAGAGCAGGTCAGAGTGTCTGTGGGATCAGGCAGGGGCCCTTCCAGCCTGAGTAAGATAGGCAGACCCAGTCTAAAAATAAAGCAGTTGAGAGGGGATAAGAGTGTCTTGTGTGAGGAACAGCTAAGAGGCCAGTGTCAGTGGGTTGTAGAGTATGTAGAGGGAGGTAAGGGGTAAGAAAACTGGAAAGGTAGGAAGGGACTAGTTTATGAAGGCTCTAAAAGGCAAATGGAAGATTTTCTATTTAATCCTAGAGGTAATAAATACCTCTAGGCATATATATATATATATGTATATATATATAAAATATTTGATACCTAGAGGTAAGCTACTAAAGTTTGGGGGGGAGGGGGCCATGTAACATAGCTAGACCTGCACTTTAGGTAGGTCACCTCACAGCTGAGTAGAGGATGGACTGAAATGGAGAGACTTAAGGTCAGAAGATCCATTGAGTGAAGACCAGGCTATTTCAATAATGCAGGTATGAAGTGATATGAGGGCATGTACTAGGTTGGTGGCACTGTCAGAGGAGAGAAAGGGACTTATATGTGAGAAGTGACAAAGGTAGAAGGAAGAGTTAAGTGTTGAGGTTGGTGTAGATAATGAGCTGAGTTTTGGACATGTTGAGTTTATGGTGTCATCCAACTTGCGATGTTCAGGAGGGGGTTAAAGATTCAAGACTGGTCAGAGAGAGGTGAGACCTGGATATGTAGATTTGGAAGTTACTTCGAAATCATGGGAGCTTCAGAGATCACCAAACAAAATAGTGTAGAGGGGGAAGAGAAGAGGGCCCATGACACAGTACTGGGGATTCCCAGTTCGTTAACAAATGGAACCTGGATGAAGATTCAGCCAAAGACACTGAACAGATATCAGAGAAGTAGGAGGAGAACCAGGAGAGAACACTGCCTTGAAAACCTAGGAAGGGAGGGTAACCAACAATGTTGAAGTATGCAGAGTAGTGAAGAAGGATGAAGATTTTAAGAAGGTCATTAGATGTAGTGATTAAGAGATTATTAGTAGGTTAGAGAGAGCTGATTTAGTTGAATGATGAAGCTGAAAGCTAGACTTCAGAGAGTTAAGAGAGTGAGAGGAGGGAAAGTGGAGGCCCACATTATAGGCTGCCTTCTTCAGGAGTTTAGCCATGAATGAATAGGAGGAGACAGATGGACTGATCAAGGGAGGGGTGTTTGTGAAGATGGAAGAGACATAGATGTTATTAGCAGATAACAAGGATGCAGCCAGTAAGGAGAGACTGAAGATTAGTGAAAGCATCTTGACCTGAGACAGTATTGAGATATATTGAACACTGGATATTCCCATTCTTCTATACTTCTTGGATCCATGATTTTTTCTCTAACTAGTATATATTTCCTTGTTTTGCATGAGGGCCTGAAGAGCTCTTTTCTGAATCAAGTACATGAATTTTAATATTTGTGATGACTTGATATCATATCCTCCTTGTCTAAAAGCCCTCATTTTCTTAACTATGTGCTTCTTGTAGTATATTGTACTGTATATAATTTTTTCCATATTAGTGAGTTATTTTTTTGTAATAATTGTTTCCTGTTTAAGCACTATTCCAATTAATTGAGCATAATAGTTTAAATAGAAGCTTTTCGATCTTAATTTCTACTTTTTGTTGGTTTACTTTGGATCTTGTAAGTAATTGTTATCAAGACCTCACCAGATTAGCCATGAATTAGCTGATTCCTCTTGAATGTTTTATTGATAAGTTAAATCTACTTATTTTAAATTTTTCTAAAACCAGACAGAATGGAGTAACTTGTGGACTATTACCAATAAAATATGTTATTTCATTTCCAAACAGAAAGATCCTCCATGGTAGCAAGTCAGCAGAATCTGGTCTGTCATCAGACAGCTATAAAATGGATTATCCAGAAATGGGGCTATGTGTAATAATCAATAATAAAAATTTTCACCCAAATACTGGTATGTATCATAATATTTTGTCATTTTCCCCATATTCCATGATCAACAGTGGATAAGTTAATGTTGTCAAACACGTGCAACAACTTTTGCATTAGAAACTGGGCAACAACACTAATGCTAGTGGCTAAACTAAAAACCTGATTATCTCTTTAAAATGTTTTACAAGCAGAATTTAGGTTCCTTAGGATTTCCTTGCAACCTTCACTTAGAAGGATCAAAGGGTCATAGATAGATAGATGGAGAGCTGGAAGGGAGCTCAGACATCATCTACTCCCTCATTTGTAGAAACTGACCTTTCATATGCTAAAATGCACTATTAAGTAATAGTTTTGAAGGTGAACAAGGTTACAGATTCATTTGGGTTTCTCTTTTGGTGGTGGTCACCAAATAGTATCATTATTTAACCATGATTTAAAAAATAGCTGAGACTAGACACTTAGAACCTTTTATTTGGAAGGGACCTTACTGACTGTATGATCCAGATCCTTTGCTCTACAGAGATGGAAACTGAGGCACAGAGAGGTTAGGTGATTGGCTTGGCCAAGGTTATACAACTAGTGAAAGGCAGAAATGGGCCTCAGTGTTCTGACTCCACCACCATGTTGGTGATTTCCCAGGGTCTCAGATTAAGACCAGCATATTGTCATGAAAATATCATCTGAAGTGTATGTAGCTTACTAAATGATGTGAAAAATAAAGTCTTGTGGTTTAAAACAATAGTTAGTCTTTCTATTAAAGAATTTGGGTACCTTCTGTCTCCCTTACTCTGTGCCAGCTGCTAGGTATAGGTAATGCAAAAAAAAAAAAATTAGCAGGTCCTTAACAGAAGGCAGTTAATTATCTTGGGAAATAATCAGAGAACATTACACTGAATAGGAGTTAAATTGTGCACTAAGTGAACTAAATTATTGTAACTGCTACGTAGTTACAGGATTTTTCTAGTAGAATAATGAGAACTTTTATTATTATGATCCAACTGGAACTTGTCTTTACAATGTTCTTTGTATTCAAGAGAATGGATTATGAATTGTTTCCACCTTTGACCTGGTCACTTTGTTTCTTTGGGAAAAAAAATGTGTTTTTTAATTAATATCTCTCTTCTCTACCTCCTCCCTCCCGTCTTGAAAAAGAAAGAATAAAGGCCACACTTAGTACAAATGTGTAGTTTAGAACAAATTTCTACATTTGCCTTTTCCAAAAAATTAATCATTCTGCACCCTGAGTCCATCTCTTCTATGAGAAAGCGACTAGTATGTCTCATCATGAATCATGCTTGGTCATTGTGTCGATCACAGTTCTTAAGTCTTTCAGAGTTGTTTGTCTTTACAGTGTTGTTGCTGTTATATAAATTGTTCTCCAGGTTCTGCTCACTTTACATTGCATCAGCTCATACAAGGCTGCCCAGGTTTCAGAGAAACTGTCCCCTTCATCATTTTTTACAGCACAATCACAGTATTCCGTTATATTCATAGACCATAATTTGTTGAGGCTTTCCCTAATTGATAAGCAATCCTTATTTTCCAGTTCTATGGCTATGGCACCATGAAAAGAGTAGATAAATATATTTTTGTGCACATGAGCCCCTTTCCTCTTTGATCTCTTTGGAGTATACATCTAAGGATGGAATTGGCCTATATACCCACTGGATCAAAGAATATGCACAACTTAGTAACTTTTGCAGGCTAGTTCCAAATTGCTTTCCTCATTGGCTGGAAATCCCAAATTTCCACATTGGAGCTGGTTTACAGCTACACCATCAGTGCATTGATTTGCCCATTTTCCCACAAGTGTGCCAATATTTATCATCTTTTTCAACTTTGCCAATCTGATGGGTGTGCGATGAAACCTTAAGAGTTGTTTTAATTTGCATTTTTCTAGTTATTAATAAATTGGAACATTTTTCATACGGCTAGCTTGAATTTCTTCCTGTGAAAACTACCTGTTCTTATCCTTTAACGTTTTGTCAGTTGGGCAACACCTTTAAAACTTTATGGCAAAATTGACCAGTACTGAGGCTGGGGTCCAGAAGATCCGAGTTCAAATTCAGCATTATACATTTACTAGCTTTGTGACCCTGGGCAAGTCATTTATAAAGTGCTTAGCGTAGTGCCTGGCACATCATAGGTACTTAGTAATTGCTAGCTATTATCATTATTGTCATCTTTGCTCACTTGTTTTCAAAGCAATAGTTTCTTTTGAAACTGCAACTAAACGTTCTCTTTCTTTTCAAAGGCATGTCATTTCGTTCTGGTACAGATGTAGATGCAGCAAACCTCAGGGATACGTTCAAGAGCTTGAAATATGAAGTCAGGAATAAAAATGACCTGACATGTAAAGAAATAATTGAATTAATGTGCAATGGTAAGTAATAATTTATAGAATGACTATGAGTTAGATGCTGACACTCATGAGTAAACATAACCCAGTGGAAGAAAGGGTGAGATTTTGCAAGGTTATGTATGAATACATTCTAACTTTGTGGAATACTTGAAATATACCTCACTTTCTGAAAGCAAGAACTGAACCAGAGGACCTGTTAAGGTCCTAATCCAATCCTCTCTCATTTTATTGTTCCCATAGAACTGGTTCTGAAGTGGTGTTTTTTTGTTTTTTGTTTTTGTTTTAAATGTATTCCAAGTTTCTAAAGAAGATCACAGCCAAAGGAGCAGTTTTGTTTGCGTGATTCTAAGTCATGGTGAAGAAGGAATCATCTTTGGGACAGATGGATCTGTTGAACTGAAAAGATTAACATTTTTCTTTAAAGGGGATAAGTGTAGAAGTCTAACAGGAAAACCAAAGCTTTTTATCATTCAGGTAAAACATTGTTTGGAGATTGGTTATTCAGTTTGTGGTATATCCAAATGTCCTTTTGCTTTCCTCATTCCCAAGGATACCTTAATTTAGAAGCTTTGCGTTTCCTTATTTGAAACCTCCACTAAACAAAGAATAGTAGGAATAAAAATGAAAATCAGCTATTGGTTTATTGATTTCCATTTCTCTCTTCCAACCTTGTCAACGATAAATCCAGAAGATCCTGAATCATCTGATTTTTAAGACAGGTGACCAACACATCATAGATACATGTTAAATACCTATACCATGTTTAGGCATATCAGTGTATAGGACGTACTAAGGTACCAGCACACCTAGCAAATTGTATTTCTTTTTAGGTGTCATGTTTTTGGAAGGATCCTAAAAAGCTAGAGGACAGTTAGAGCAGTGTGGCCAGGCTGGTGTAGGGACTCAGATCCACATCATGTGTGTTGTGGTGTGTGTCCTTAAAGGGGAGGGGATGAGACAGACACAGACATGACAGGCATTTGAGGGCATGTCATCTAAAAAGGTTAGACCTGTTATGCTTGGCCCTAGAGGACAGAATCTGGGATGGTGGGTAGCAGTTTCAGAGAGGTGGACATTATCTCAGTATAAGGAGCGTATGGTGTGGGTGTAGGGGTGTGTCCTGGGCTGCCTTGGGAGAGATCTTTAAGTGGAGGCTGAACAATTGCTTACCAGGAATGTAACAGAAGAGCTTCCTGATCAGATGCAGGTTAGAGTAGGTGACATGAAGTCACTTTTCTTTTCTGAGATTGTAGATTCCAAGCTAATAACCTACTCGCTTCTATTCTTAAAATAATCAATTACTTCTGATTATTCAATAGTTCTAAATAATTAAGATAAATTGTTATTTTGTTCCACTGACAAAGACTGGAATTTATGATTTCCTTTCATGTATAAAATAGATAGGGAGGGAGCATCTGGCCTGGGGACCAGGAGCCCTGAGATCAAGTGCTGCCCAGCATACACTGGCTTTTTGACCCTGGGCACATCAGTATACCTCACAGGGCTCTAGGCCACTGTCAAAGACTGAAGTGCTCACCTGCATTGGTAGAGAGAGTTTCCTCACCTGGGAGTTCCCTATATCAATGAAATCAGAGGTCCAGTCCCAATCCTATAGAAATACTCAAATGTACCTTGACCACAGTATGAACAGTTACTTTCCCATAACCATGTTTTCTAGCTAATATATTTCAGATAATAGGACATAGGATTTAGTTGCATATGTCTTTCCCCTTTTAAAATCACAAAGGATGAATGGCCTAGTACATGTCAGACCAAGTCAGGAGCAGTTTTCTGAAACACTTGGCTATTGATTCTGGGAGGCAGAGATAGAAAAAAAAATAATGGCTAGAAAAATCGAAACCTAATGGGCTGTACGTTTTTAAGAAATCACATTTTTTTTTTTTTTTTTTGGCCAAGTTACAAATGACTAAAAATTTTTGTCTCTTGGAGTCCTTGAAACTGAACCAATCACTAGGAGGGACGTACATTTTTTTTGGTCCGGTTGTTGGTAGAGGTCCCCTCTCACGTGGCCACCCTCAGGGCCTTCCTCAAAAGAAAACATGGATTTTCTGACCTAGAATATAAATGAAGCCCAATAGGCATATACTAATGATTTTCAAAATTTTAAAAATTTACTCTAGATTTCACGCATGGTAATTGATTTTTTCTTTTAACTAGGCATGTAGAGGCACAGAGTTGGATTGTGGTGTTGAAACAGACAGTGGCACTGATGATGATGTAACATGCCAGAAAATACCTGTTGAGGCAGACTTCTTATATGCATATTCTACAGCCCCAGGTAAGAAAGAGTTGTGCAAAATTGGTATTTATGAAAATATTGCAGATTTTTGATCACACTGAGACTGATTTTTGTGTGTGTTAATGCTTACAGGAAGAGTTATAAGTCGGTTAGAGAATAGTATTACAAAGGCTGTCATCATTATTTTAATTCCAATGGGATCCAGTTAACTTTGTTGTGTCCAGTAATCACAGACCTTATATATGATTGACCCTTGACTTCAGCTCTTAAAAATAAATCGCATTCATGATTATGCTTCTAGTGGTAAAGTGAATACAGTAGCATAGTATAACAGCCATGGAGCTTGGGAATCAGAAGCCCCAAGTTAAAATTCTGGCTCTGCCATGTAAGAGCTTGGTGACCATAGGCAAGACATTTAACCTCTCACTGCCTCAGCATTGTACTTTGTAAAATAGGAGTAATCATACTTGATACTAACCTGGATGAAATATTCCTATTAACAATCTTTTTTTTTTTTTTTTTTTGGCTAGGCAATGGGGTTAAGTGACTTGCCCAGGGTCACACAGCTAGTACATGTTATGTGTCTGAGGCCTGATTTGAACTCAGGTCCTCCTGAATCCAGGACCGCTCCTGTATCCACTGCGCCACCTAGCTGCCCCCTCTATTAACAATTTTAACAGCCTTCCTAACACCCCTTTGCAGAAGGTTCGGCAAGTTGTATAGTCCTCATTTTATAGATGTGGAACCTGAGGTTCTTAGAAGTTTAGTCCCGTGGCCCCCTGCTCACTCACTCACTACCCTCTGAGGCAGGAATTGAACCCAAGCTTGGTAGTCTGATTTACCCGTGATTTTGCCTCTCAACAGAGAGAATGCATGGGAACCTTGTCAAGGACTAGACAAAGAGCTGGTGGTCATTATCATTCTGTTAATATCAGCAGTGTGTCTGATAGAGCAGGTGGACTATTATGAAATTGATGGAACCAAATAACACAATAATCTTCTTCTTAGAATTGGAGCAGGTGGGGAAAGGGAAAGAGGTATTGCTTCTGTCTTTGGCTTGTTCACTTGATCCTCTCCTTTGGAAATGGAGTTTAGCAGGTAGAAATCTGAGTGAGTCAAGTCACCAAGCTTATTAAGGGCTTGCCAGGTGCCAGGCACTGTGCTAAAGCTCTAGAAGGAGGGGCAGTGGGGGGACCCAAGGCTGAGAGGGTTCACCTACAAAGGCAGTCCTCCTTGAATTTCTTTACCAAAAGAGGAGGTGATATGGGGATGGAAGGCTGTACACAGCATTTTTTCTTCCACTTCATCAATATCACTGTCCCAAGGCATAAAAAGGGTTTTTTCCTCCCATGGTCCGTGAAGCCTACTGGAATCCATACTTGTTTTTTGGATAGTTTTCTCAATAATTTCATGTAATTATTTGTGACATCAGCTTCAATAATTGTCATTTTCTGACAGTTTGTGGGTTTTGTTGTTTTGTAGGCTACTATTCTTGGAGAAATTCAAAGGATGGTTCGTGGTTTATCCAGTCACTTTGCACAATGTTGAAACAGTATGCTAACAAGCTTGAGATAATGCAAATCCTTACCAGAGTCAATCGGAAGGTTGCCACAGAGTTTGAATCTTATTCCTTAGATGTTAACTTCCATGCAAAGAAGCAGGTGCCATGTATCATGTCCATGCTTACTAAGGAACTATATTTTTTCCCCTAAGAAAATCAATTCATTTTAATTTGTATGCCAAGCCAGTGAATGACAGGTCTGAGGACTGTATTTCCTCGGTAATTTAAATTGCACACTTTGAGCCTAATTCAGTATGGCAGTGGGTGGGGTTTGGGGGTTTGGGAGAGAATCACCATTTCTCCATTTAATAGAACCATTACATTGCTACTTCAAATTCAGGTAATTTAAATGGAAGCTAATTAGGAGTTAATATATTGGCTTTGAAAAGAAAAACAAGTGAATATTGGCATTTGTTACAAGAAGAAACTATTGTATCTTCAAAACTTTAAGAGTATTTAGAGATTTAGGGAACAGAACACTTCTTAGTGATGTACAATTGTGTATTTTGAAGGGATTGTGGAAAACTAAACACATTTTTACGTAACTATGAAAGGGAGCATGGCATAGAGGGTAAAAGAATGGCTTTGGAGTCAGGAAGATCCAGTATGCAGAGCTGTCTGAGATAATGTTACCCTGGGCTAGTAACTGCACCACTCAGTGCAGAATTCACTCAGAGAATGAAGACTGTAAATTTTATACTAGCTTTTGATTAGTGGAGTTTCCATTCTGGGAGTTCCTTCCAGCAGGTGAGCTCAGTTATCCTGACCTAGTTTTTTTTAAACTGATTTTATAACTGTACATTCAATTTTTGTCAAACGACAAATGAAATATGATGATGCTTTCTGGACCTCTGCCACAATCATGGTATTGCTAGAGAGTAGCAGTGGCAGGCTTTTACTTGGGAAAATTCATATTTGGAAATAAGCAAGGGAGATAGATGAATTTTTTTTACCATACACATTAAAATTCCATTCTTAGTTTCTGAACACACAAGGGACATGGGGCTAGAATTTTTATATCTATCAAATAAAACTCATTTAAATGTTAAATTTAGAAACCAGAATTCTATTTGGGTAAAAATGTGGCTGACCTCAGGTGCTATCTACGAGCCATACTAAATCATCAAGGGCAAACAGGATTCATTCCCAAGCCAAGGTGCTGAAATGCCACTTGTTCACCAGCATAAGAGGGGTGCTTGTGCCTATGCTGATCAAATGGGCTGGCTGTCAGCCAGCAGAAAGTCATCTAATGACCCCCTGGGTGAAAAACTGAAAAATGACTGACTCTAAGCAACACCAATTAAAGAGATGGTAGGGATATAACTTGAAGCAATGTCGTATGTACTGAGTAGTTTTGAAAACCATCCAATGACCTAATTAATCTGGTGCAGCTTGGCACACAACAATCAGTGAGGGTATGGGATGCTTACTTCTGTGGAGGCAGTGGACCCAGTGGGAAGGAGGCAGAAAGAAGTACAAACTAGATCTTCAGGGCAATGGATGCATGCAAAGAATGGTTCTCTCTAGTAACAGCTTCTTCAAGTCATCAGTCTATATATGCAAAGAACAAAGCCAAATGGACACAATGTCAAAGTTTTCCAAAGATGGCTGAAGACCTATCCAAATATTGGCATTCTTTGTTGAAAAATATTTCTGCATGTTAAATTATTTTCAGAGACATTTATAATCATAAGAAAATAGCAAAATTTTATTCCTTTCTAGAACCTTTGGTTGATTTACTGAACATAGATCCTAATATAGATCTAGAACTGAAAGGAACCTCAAAGGTGAAGCCACCTAGACCAATTACCCTGTTTTACAGAGGAGGAAATTGAAGCTTGATGAGATTGAATGATTTGTCTAAGATCACACAGGTACAGAGCCGATGAATGGGGGCCTCTGCCCCCAGAACCTCTTGCTCTATCCACCTGTGGTGCTTAGGCCATCCTCTCCCTTTTACAAATGAGAAAACTGAGACCAAAAGGAGTGAAATAACTAGCATAAAGACATAGATGATTAAGGGCTGAACAGGAACTAGAATCCAAGTCTCTTGATTTGCTCCCTAAGTCATCAACAATCTTTCAGTCGGGTGATTTTCATTTTACTTGAGGGGGAAAAGCCTAAACTTATAAGTGGTGATATTCCCCTTTTACTAGCACACAAATGCTATTTCTTATTTATGTAATTTAAATGCAGCATGTCATTGTAATGGTACTTGGTAATGTTTGTGTGACCACTTCTACAATAAAAATTTATTACTTTGAATGTTTTTACTTCTAAAAATAAATTTCTGTGAAATTTGCTAATTTTTCCCCCTCCTCATTTTTGATCTATTTGAAATAAAACTTTCATTTTATCTCACAGCAAACCTAAAATTTGGTGGGTTCCCCACTGGGGGATGCCATTACCCTCTATTAGATAGGGTAGATCATTTATTCCGTGGTAACTATGTTCCAGTCATTATACCAAGTACTGGAATGCAATTTCAAGCAAAAAGATAGTACCAGCTCTCAAAGACTTTACATTCTAATGGGGGAAGACACCCCACCCCCCACAATTCTTGCCCTCAGGGATAAGCTGTGGGTCTCTATTTGACTTCCAAGGTTTTGCAATGGAGGAAAACTTGCATACCCCTAAGGTTTTTACCATTGAATCCCTCATAGTTAGGAAGTTTCCTATAGAGCGGCATAATGGAACACAGTAGCCACCTAACAACCCTGACTGGCCATTTTCACTCTTAAGGATGAGATTATTGCTGGAATGACTTTCCTTTTGGGGAAGTAGCCCAGGACACATGGTTTATGATGGCCATACAAGAATTTATGAGGTCAGTACAGGACTGCTGTTCTTTAACACTCTTCTTCACTGTGCCATTACCTCTGAGAATGTAGAACAAGGCAATAAAGAACTTTTCCTGGGTCTCATTTAGACCATTCTTGCTGGAGTGAATTGAGTTTGCTGTTTAACCAGGAAAAGAGAGAAGGGAAGTTTCCTTGGAGCTTTTCTGTGGTCAAGAAAAACAATTTCAAAAACAGCCAGCCTTCCCAAATCCATATGCAACATAAAAGGGCAATCTCACAGCCTTGTACTAAATGACAGCTACAAGACCATTTACAATGGGAGGTTTCCTTCCATGGAGTCCTGCTGATGCCTCATTGCAATGTGGTGAACCTATGTTCTCAAAAGCCAACTTAAATGTATGTTTTGGTAGGTTTTCTCATAGTTCTGGCATCAAATAATGTCTGCTTTCCAAGGTCCAGCTAATCACAGAGGTGATATTTTCCCCAATTAAGCGAGGTAATTTTCCTGAGTGCATTTAAAGATAGAGCTGGAAGGTGCTGGATATGGTTAAAACAAAGAGCAAGTTTTTGTTAACCAATGTGTGAGTCATTTTTTAAATAATCTGTGTGAGATCATAAACTTGACTTTGTTGAGTGGAAAAAAAAGAAGGAAGCAAGGATTTATTAGGTACCTACTATGTGCCAGGTACCACTAAGTGCTTTATAAATATTAGCCTTACAACACCCCTGATGCTATTATGGTGCTATTATGATCCCCATTTTACAGATGAAATTGAGTTAGAGGTTTAATTTGCCTAGAGGTATCTGAGGCCATATTTGAACTCAGGTCTTCCAGACTCCAGGTACAAATCAATAACAAACTATTAATTCAACAAGCAATTAATGCTACAGAATGGGAAAATGATAAACAAACACTGACATGGGCTATACCCACTTCCTACTGAAGCTAAACTGATATAAAGCAATCCCATAACAAGAAAGGCTGTGAGAATCTGGAAACTCCCTCATTTATTTTTTTTTCTTTTTTTATTAATTTATTTTGATTTATCAACAATCACTTCCATATGCTTTTGAGTTTAAAATTTTTCTCCCCCTTCCTCCCCACCACCCTCCCCAAGATGGCGCACAATCTGATATAGGCTATACATTTACATTCATATTAAACGTTTTCACATTAGTGATGCTGTAAGTAAAAGTTAAAACCGATAGAAGGAACCATCAGAAAGAGGAAACAAAACTCAACAGAAGAGAAAAAAATAGCAATTCAACTTCCATAGTTCTTTCTTTGGATGTGGATAGCATTTTCCATCACAAGGCCTCTGGAGATATCTGAGATCCTTGTATTGCTGGGAAGGATTAAGTTGATCAATATTAGTCATCACACAACGTGACTGTTACTGTGTACAATGTTCTCTTGGTTCTGCTCACTTCACTCAGCATCAGACCATACAAGTCTTTCCAGGAAACTCCCTCATTTAGCCAAAGACTTGAGTTCCTTGCCAAGAGGAGGAACATGGCTGCCAAGGACTGCACTAGTTTAGAATATGAACTTAATTTGCAAAACCTTACAGAGATGTAGAAAGTTGTAAGCAATATGTCTCATAAAGCAAGGAAGAAATGACAGGAAAATTTGAAGAAAGCTTGTTATCTCCCACTAGGAGGTCTTACAACACCTTTATTTGCTTTTCCTAGAAGAACCTATTAAGTTAAACCCCCATGGAGCCACAACTCCCTTTTTTTTTCCTGGTTTTATTGATAATAAGGATGTCAAGATTTCTCCAGGAATGTCTCCATCACTGTCAGTGTGTATTCTTTGATTCATGGTTTGTCAAGAAAGAATAGTTTCAGCATGCAAATATCCATAAAAATAAAAAGTATTTCTACACAAAAATAATCTAGGAGAGAATAATAGGAAAGGAAGTTCCTTTCAAAATAACCAAATGGGGCAGCTAGGTGGTGCATCAGCCCTGGAGTCAGGTGGACTTAATCAAATCCAGTCTCAGACACTTACTAGCTGTGTGACCCTGGGCAAGTCACTTAACGCCAATTGCCTTAACAAAAAAAAAAAAAAGAAAGAAAGAAAAGAAAAGAACTACAAATTGCATAAAATATCTGGCACTCAATCTACCAAGGCACACTGAAAATGCATAGATGCAATTACAAATGTGCGTGTGTGCATGCACATACAAATGCTCCTATAAGACAACATTTTTTTTTTAGTTTTTTATTTTTGTTTTTTAAGGGTTCAGAGTTTTTATTTATATATACAGGTATTCTGAAAGCAAGGTCAGTGATCATTCCACTGTATCATGTTGCCTCGATAAGAATATAGAGAAAGCTATGACATGATTCTTGACTTCCAAGAGCTTAAAATTTAGTTGACAAGACAAGATATAAACACATAGAGCATTTAAAAAAAGTTAGTACAAGGCAATTTAGTTCAATCTAAATTCATCAAATTCTTACCATAAACAAGAAAACATGAAATAAAAAGACAAAAAAAAATCCCCTTTCCCTGCCCTCAAATTGTTCTCTTCTCCTAGGTAGCATTCTCCATATGAAAAGAAGAAGGGGGAGGAACAAGTATTTATTAAATGCCTACTATGTGGTAAGCACTATACTAACAATTTACAAATATTATCTCAATTCTGACAACCCTTCATATCCATATTGACTCACCCAATGATCTCAGTGGGTAAAGCATGTACAATTGGGAGAATGGGGATGCTTTTGTCAGAAAGAGGGAAATAAGGAAGGGGACTAACTTTAGTGAGAAAATGATGAATTTGGTGAATTCTGGCTGATTTTCACCTTAAATATCTTCAACTTATCTATGTCTAACTTAAAGTCAAGAAAATATTTTGATGCTAGTTCAGAGATTTAAATAAGCACTGAGCCCAAAAAATACAAGATCCTAGAAAATGCAGTTCCAGAAGTGACTTTGCTAAATAGTATTACTCATATGTCTTGTCAGACAAAATAAAAAAAAAAAAGAAACTTAAATAACTGGAGGTATATAGAATGGTAGTGCTGGGCCATGCCAATATAACCAAAAATGACAATCCTACTTAAGTACCTACATTAATTGATAGTTTTGGTGCTATACCAATAAAACTACCAACGGGATTCCTGGCTAAGCTATACAATTAAATTATATTCAATTACAAAAACTAAGCATCTGGACTATCATGGGAAATGGATAACAATAAAAAGTTAAGGAGGAAAGCAGGATTAAGCAGTTCCAAACCTCATCTTGTAATTAGTAATCATTAAAACAATTTACCACTAGTTAAAAAATAAACCAGTGCAACAAGTTAGATAAGAAAGACTAATAATAATTGAACTTATTAATACAGCATTTGATAAATCTGACAACACTATGGGGAAGAATTAATAATAATTGTTGGGAATACTAGAAAGCAATTAGGCAGAAATGAGATTTAGATAAACATTTTCATATACCATAATAAATTCAAAATAAATGTGCAACCTGAATATTAACGTTCCTATCATTAAAAAAAATTAGAAGAAAATCAGATCAGGTACCTTTCAGCTATGGTTAAGGGGCAAATTCTCAACCAAATAAGGGATTGAGGTGATTACAAAAGTTGAAACAGATAATTTCAATTACATGAAATTGCAACTAGAATAAGAAGGGAAAAGCAAAAGACTAAAGAAAAAATCTTGGCATCTAATATCTCTGAATAGGGCTTGATATGAAAGACATATAGAGAACTGATAGACATATAGAAACCAAAAATCATTTGCAATAGATAAAAGGTTAAGGGATTTGAACAAAGAAGAATTGCAAGTGATTAACAATATCAAAGAATATTCCAAAGCAACAATACAAGAAATGCAAATAAAATTAATTGAAAACATAGTAGACACCTAACAGGAATGATTCAAATCATGAGGTAGTTAGTTGTGCATATATATACATATATGTATATATACATGTATATATAATATATGTATCTTACTAAAATACATGATATATAATATATTCATATATTAGCAACTTGTATATGTTATATAAAATATACACAATAATTGCCTCAATAGATACATGTGTATACATATACATCTATATGCATACATCTATATTATATATAATTTTTTCCCTGTCATTCAAACTTGCTCCTATCCAAGTCAGAACATGCATGATGGCTCCACCAACTCTACCATTAGATGTCACTCTAGATCATAAAACCCATTAATTACAATTTTTACCATAATTACCCAAACCAATTGTGGTTTATTGCCAGATAATTATCATCATTTTACATCTAAGAAAACTGAAACAGAGAGAGGTTAAATGATATTTTTTTTTTTTGAGGTTAAATGATTTGCACAGGGCAACACAGCTAGTAAGTGTCTGAGGACAGATCTGAACTCACATCTTCCTGGTTCCAGGCCAGACCCTCCCCAAGATGGCGCACAATCTGATATAGGC